TATTCTCGTCGCTTGATAAACTTAAGATTGAGCCACTGTAGTCACTTGGACTATTTTAACGATGTCTTTAATAACTTTTCGAGGCCGGCAAGTTTCAATCTCTCAAGAACCCTATGAACTAGAATGGAGGATTGATCCAGCTCTCAGATTTCAACAACAAAAAAAAAAAATCTTAATTTGTGTTCCGAAGATGAATGAAGGTCTTACTGGGTTGGAACAACATGAGGGTGAGTAAATACTAACAGAATTTTCATTTTTGGGTGAACTAACCCAATACGATATTTTAATAGAGTGATTTGTTGCCCATTTGTTATCATTATCTATATTGAAAGAAAAAATGCATGAACAATTTTGAAAGTCTTGCTACTTTTATATTTTTGTGGACACATTTTTTCACATGACACAACCATTCACATCAGGACTATTTAGTTTGACAAAGATGGATAGCCAAGCTGAAAGTCTCCGTTCATGTGGATCCGCTGCCATCCTCCCCAGGCGAGGCGCACCTGTCCCAGTTCAGACAGCCCGCTATCTTTTAGACTCTGTGAACGACAGCTGTGGTCTACTGCCGTGCTGAGAGCTATTATTAGCCCACCGCCGGAGCCACTATAACGGGCTTCAGCACGATGATGGAGGGAAAAATCTAGATCCCCGTTGGGACTCTAGACTCCAAGGTGCTTTCAAACCCACACGTTACTTTGCATTTTGGCACGGCTTCAATGTTGTAGGGGGCGGGACGTTGGCACTACGCAGCCGAGTGTGTAAGTGAGCACGTGCACGAGTCTGGCTCTGTGATGTGGGTCATTAAGCAGCCAGCCGCCCGTCAGGGAGCAAAAGAAAAGGGATGATCCCTACTCCTGCCTCCCTCGTGTTTAGCACCTGCTGTGTCTGGCAGCGTGCGTGTCTGTGTTTACTCCTGGACCGGTGCGACCTCAGCGCTACCCATGCTGCATCTCAATCAGAGCCGGGGATAGACTGCACAATGTTGCTCCGGGAAAAACCTCTCGCACGCTGACCAAGTTTTTTTGGGGTGCCAAAACATAGGCTACTATCTGAATAGGTTACAAGTGTATGGCATATTGTGTAGTAGTATCTACTTTATTGTGCTTATAATTTTATATAAAAAGACACGTGAAACGATATGCCACGGAGAAGATTACAAATGTAGTGCGCTACATTGTCATTTGACCTCACTAGCTTGCAGCGCCCCATGCTGCGAACTGTATACTGCTTACGATTTTATAAAAATAGTATATAGCCGCGTTTCCACCGCAATTACCAGGAACTATTTGTCCCAGGAACTTTTTTCACAGGAACTTTTTTTCCCCCAGACCGCTTGCTTACTGCGTAACACCGCGTACTAATGTACCGTTCCGAGGCGGGAAGATTGTTAAACTTTGTGCGACTGCTCTTCCTAGCCTGCGCGTTTGTTTTGAGTTTTGTATGGAGGAGATTCAAGCTTTGCTGCTTTTGTGTGCGATTGGTTTACTAACGAGGTAATTAACAAAACGGCAGAAAAGAGAAGAGCATCCAAAGCGTATTCAGAAAGCTTGTAATGCTAGATATAAAAGTAGACGTTTTTTATCAGCGGACATCGACCGTGACATGGATGGGACGAACGCGCTCCATCGGGCAGAAAGAATAGCTTGGTAAGAACCAATCAGCATTGTTCAGCGCACAAGTCCCACCCCAAAAGTTCCTGAACTCTGAAAAAGTACCACTTCGCCAGCAGGGACTATCTGGGGGGGAATTTTTTACCCGGAACTTTTTACCCGGAAGTTCCTAGTTCCTGGGGAAAGTTCCTGCGGTGGAAATGCGGTTTATGAAACTAGTGCTGGGCGGTATACTGTTTCATACCAAAAACCTGTGTATATTTTTGTTACGATGTGTTTTTAATATACCGCCATAGCGATGTATTTAATTACACAACGTTCGGAACGAATGTTACGCTGCGCCGCCGACACTGTTTCAGACGGACCCTTTACAGTGTTGCACTTCTAAGCAGCGACCATGAGGCGAGGGTAAATCAAACAGCAGTGCTCTGGTGTAACGTTACAGGGAAGGTGGATGTTACATAACTATGGCGTTATTTTCCTGTCAAATGTCGAGAGCGCACTATTGTAGTGCGAAAGGAAATTAATATAATGCGCGAGTGCGAATCTCTGCCCATGTGTGGAATAGCGCGTTACACGCTGCTCTTGTAAGAATAGGTCTATTTTCTCTGGGCTCGCTTAGAGAATCCTGCACTTAAAACGTGTTCAGTGCACGTAATATGCTCTAGCTAACAATTTTAGGTTATAAGAACGTTTTCATAACGTTTCCATTAAACTATAAAAACGTTATTTCTGAATGTTCTAGGAACATTAAAAACGTCCATATTTTTAGACGTTGTATTAACTTTCTTGCTTGGTTATAAGAATGTTATTAGAATGTTAAGAAATAACAATTTTAGGTTGTACTGAGCGCTATTCTATTCTACAATATTAAATAGTGACAATAAAATAGACCATCCTAAGTCAATTTATTGCAGTAATTCCTCTCTCAACCAGTAGAAAATTCTTTGAACAAACGTCATAAACCGGAAAACCTTATTAATTCTGAAAAAAAATCATGATATCAATTTTTGGTCAAACCGCCCAGCATTAGTCAGCACATGCATTAGGCAGCACATTGTCATTTGACATCACTAGTCATGTACGGCATTGGATGTAGTATGTACCATAGCTTACCACCTGCAATTTTATTCAAATAGTAAATCTATATTTTATTTTCTCCCATTTATTTTACTTTATTTAAGTGGGCTTATTCTCATTGGGATAAATAGAGAATCATTATTAGTTTATTGCTCTCGCACCTGAGTCAGTGTGGTGACATCATCTCTTGGCATAGCGTCCCTCCTGATGTGTTGGTGCCATTTACTCTGCTAAACATGCTAACAGCCGGTGTTAGTCTCGCACAGTCACGGAGGTGATGGAGAACGTCTCCTTCCTCCCAGCTGTTCCGCTATATCACACACACCCATGTGTATAAGGTGTCAGGCGTTCATTAGCAGATTTTAACAGATGAGGTGGATTTATTAGGGCTATTAGCAGATCAGGCCTCATGCAGGCGTATTGATTTAGGCTGATACCCCCTGCTGTTTTCCTTCACAATATGAAGCTGCTAAAACAATATTTTCATGGCGTCAGAACCATAGCTTAGATTAGAATGAAATTTAATAGAGCTTAGACGGGATATTTATTTGGCATGTCATCCAAGATGTCCATGTCATTCTTTCTTCAGTTGAAAAGAAATTAAGGTTTTTGATGAAAACATTTCAGCATTTTTCTCCATATAATGCACTTCAACGGTTCAAGGTCCAAAAGTCACTTTCAGTGCAAACTGCAAACTGTTCAAAGGGCTTTAAATGATTTCAGACGATGAGTAAGTGTCTTATCTAGCGAAACGATCGCTCATTTAATAAATAACAAAGTTTACATTTTATAAGCTCAAATGGTCGGCTTGATGCGCGTTCGTGACTCTCCTGTTCAAACTCGTTCATCAAAATGAACGAATCTTGGAGAGTCACTAACGTTAAGCTGTAGAAATCGACAATCTTTTATTTATTTACTTTATTAAGTATTTTAATTCGATTATTTCAGTTTATATTTATTTATACAATATTTGATTATTCATTTCTACATTTCAATCAACAACACATGGGACGCAAACTATGATGGAAGAATCCGTCTACGACTTTAAAATACAGCAGAACGTAGACAGGGGCGTATTTGTCTGTGCCGCCGCGTCATCTTGATTCATTTCATATTGAGATACATAGGGCTGTCAACTTTAGTCGTTTAGTCGACTAATCGGTCGATGCCGTCGTGGTCGACTGACATTCTTATTGGTCGACCAGTTGCATATATTTTTTTTTTTTTTTTTTACCAATAGAAGGAATTTTTCAATGACTTACTCCTTGATATTTATTCATTTATAAGCAGTTATTTATTACTGTATTCTAAATATAATTAGCCTATGTTTTGTCCCCAACTTTAAAATGCTTTAATTTAGGCTATTTTTGTAACTGCGCCACAGTTTAGCGCACACACATAATACACTCGGGAACCGCACCTGTGTCTGGCTCGGTAAGGGATGCTGTATTCATTCAGTTAGAACGCTGCTTGTTTTGGCTTTAGTCGACAAAATGTCCAGGAAATATAAATCTTTTGTCTGGCTGCATTTTAAAACAAAGACGACAAGACTGTGGAGGGAGGCGATCGCGTTGCCATTATGAGCGCGCAAGTCGCGCGCCTACATTTAAAATCGAACTTGAGCGCGCAAAAGACGTGAGCAGCCTTTTAACGGCTATATCATGCTGACTCAATAGATTGTGTTTTCTTAATGTTTTCGTTTTTATTTGTACACTTGACGCATTTGAAAATAGCCTAAATAATGCAACAAAACGAAAATAAACCTATACGCGGTCCTACAGCCTATTATAGGATTGTTTTTAAGTTATTTGGGTTTTTTTGAGTGTTGTTTAAAACGCCTTGATCGTCAGGACTAAAGTTAACCCATAGCTTTGAAAGTAAAGAAGAATATAAAGCCTGTATAAACGAGAGCTTTTGTTGGGATTTTTCATTATGTGGCAGATAGCAGTTATATTTTTTGCAGCGTGTGGTGTGGTCAGGTGCGCGATTGGGACTGTACTATAGACCTAGGACAGAGCTCTTCACTTTTTGCAGTTAAAAAATCACTTAATTTTCAAAGAATTGTATTATTATTATAGTTTTATTTATTTGTGATGTTTTTTCGTTGTTGTTTTATAAATGCTCAATGACAATTGTTTAAAAAAATGTTTAATCAAAACATCACGTTTTTTTTTATTTATTTTTTTTAGTCGACTAATCGTTGAGCAGGACTCGACTTTGGTCGACTAAGGATTTCTTTGGTTGAATACAGCCCTAGAGATACAAGAAGTGAATAAACCACCATCCTCCCTCTCTTTCTTCCTTCAGAGTTGGGTTCACTTTCCTGGGATGACCTGGAGAACGATCTTCCAGATGAGCTGATTCCTAACGGAGACCTGGGGCTGATGTCCATGCCCTCTAACGGTGGTGCAGGTACAGGCGGTCACGGGCCCATGGTCCCCGATGCTGCTGCCAAACACAAGCAGCTCTCCGAGCTCCTCCGGCCGGGAAGCAGCGCTGGCAGGAACTCATCCAGTCCGCAGCCTGGGGGCATCGGACCTCAGCTGGGTGGGCTTGGAAAAAGTCCCCTGGGCCAGGGCTCCCCTTCTCACCCGTCTCAAACTCAGAAACCAGGTGGTACCCCAGGAACGCAGGGCAATAATGCTGGCTCAGCTGGCATGGGACTCGGCACGGGATTTAACCAGGCCATGCTGAACAGCGGCATGATGGGACAGAATGCGGGCACTCAGCAGGGTCAGGTGATCAATGGGTCTGTGGGCCGCGGTCGGGGCGCGCCAGGGATGCAGTACCAGGTGCCAACTTCTGCAGGGGCGGGAGGAGCAGCGGGGGCGGCAGCACCAGGAGGAGCGGCAAGTGTCCTGGCAGAGGCTCTCGCACAGGGGGCACAGCAGATGGGCATCAACGCCCAGCAAGCTGGCAACATCAACAAGGTAAGATGACCGGTTTCCTTTGCTGTGGTTTCACTTTCACTCATTTGGAGTTCATAGTCGTGTTAAGATGGCACGTACATTTTTTTTTTTTTTAAATCTCCTTAGCCAGGTTTCCATTCAGATATTTTTATGCAAGTTTTGGGGTAAATAAGCTCACTGATTGGCAAGAATGTGATACAATTTCAAAGGTGCAAATAAAAAATTGAGGTAGTTCTCAAACAATTTCCTAGATGTTCACCACAAAAATCATGTAACTTTACCTCAGGTTATGTCTCTAAATAATTTATTCCAGGACATTCTGACACACAAATAAGCATCTGCTACCAATTGCTAGAGAACATGATGTCTGACTGTGTGTGTGTGTGTTGTTTTTTTTACGCACTATAAACCACACACAATTTGGTACATTTAATAAAATAGCTGTGGTGGTTTGCCAAGTGATGACTCCAACTTCCATTTCTATTTTTTTTTCTGGTTTATCCATAACTAATGATTTTGTTCTCCTTGGGATGGAAATGCTGCTTTATATATATATATATATATATATATATATATATATATTCTTATGGATATTCTGCTTTTTACCATTTCAAGTTATTGGCCGATATATTTATTTATTTATTTACTTTTTATTTGATTTGATTAGTTCTAAAACTACTAAAATTGGTATTGTTAATTAAAAATGCTGAAATAAAATATAGAAACTGAAAATCAGAAATGTTGTCTTTGCAACTTGCTGAAAAATTTAAAGTACTGAAATTACTATAACTAAAATACAGCATTAAAAACTTAATATAACAACATAATACAATTGCTAAAGCTTAAACTATTTTTTTAAAAATACTATAATAATACATACAATTAGTCAATTACTTTAATAACACTGAATTGTGCTGCTCATTTCCTATTTTTAGATCACGTAACACTCGAACAGTAACGTCAGTAGTAATTTAATAAACCATTAAATATAATCTTTAGCAAATTTCAAAATCAGTATGCATTTTTCATACTGTGCATTATCATGTTAGGATGCCTATATTTACTTGTAGCATCTTGAACAATTGATTTTTCATTTTAAGTATTTTCGCAAATTGTTGGATCCTGCGTTTAAATCGTTTAAATCCCAATGGGGGCCAACAAGTCCCTGTTTCACTGTGCGATAAGTTATAACAGTAATGTTTGGTGAAATGTGTTTCATGTCTGTTTTTAGAGCTCTAGTATGCTAGTGGAATCTGATCAGTGTGTAAATCAGGCTGTACGTCCAGTTTCGTCTGCCAGTCAGCAGCATGTTCACTTGATCACTCTTTATCTGAAGCTGATCTTTGCTGTGTCATTGTATGACTCATTCCTGCACTTTTTTTTACTAGGCTTAAATGCTTGTGTTGCGAGACCGTACGTGCCAGAACAATGTTAAACTCATTGTGATAGATGTGACCAGTAGAGGAAAAAAGAACAGAGGCAGCAGGCTACTGCAAACGCTTAGGGGTCCACAGAATGAGGTTACAAAAGTAAAGCAAATGTTAACCCAACAGAGGTAAACCAAAGTATTTATAAAGAGAGAAAAAAAAGAAATAACAAACAAACAAACAAAAAAAATTTACAATAAACATGAGTCACTGTATTTGCTTCAAACAATTACAGAGGTCTTGGGACTACAGGATCTCTCACAGAACACCACTAACTCACACAGAAACGGTTAACAGATGTGGCCAGCATCAATTAACACAAAAAGGGGGATATGCAGACACATAAAGCCCATTACACAAAATAAACAAACATTGGCCAGTGTTTCATTTTCATTGTCCAACCCCTGTACTTCCTATACATAAATAAAAGAAAAAGCGAAATAGTCCTTGGAGTCCCCCAGAGCAGAAACCGGAATGGTTGTGGCCCAATCAATGGCTGGAACCGTATATATAATATATGTTGACGGTGCACCAGCTCACGGGACTCTGATGTAACAAACAAGCAAACAAAAAAGAACGTTAAGGCCGTGTGTCCACCAAAGCGTTTTTCCACGCGCCTTGCGTTTGTTTTCAATTGTTTTCAATGGGAGCGCCGCGTTTTTTAAATGCCATGAGCGTACCGAGGCGCTGAGCGTTTTTTTTTTTTTTCATGCTCCAGCGTTTTTACTGGTCGCTGGAGTTGAAAAATGTTCAACTTTGGATAAAACGCAGCGCTCATCACTGTCACTTTTTACCCAGCTGTCCAATCACAGTGGAGGAGGGGCGGGACTAATACCACACGACCAACTGTCAACATTCAAACTTCTGCGGATATTCTGTATCATAGCAACGAAACGTCTCAACGGAAAAAACGCTGCGCTGCCAAAACGCTCTCAAGCGCCCAATGCACGGCGTCTTCAGCAGAGAGTCTAGCGTTTTCAGCTGGCTAAAAATGCTTTGGTGGACACATGGCCTAAAGGCCAATTTATACTTCTGCGTAGGGTGCGCGCAGTAGGTACGGCGTAGCATACGCACAGACGCGTCCCATAGCGCGTACCCTTCCGCGTTGCCTGACGCGCACCTCTTCAAAAATGTAACTACACGTCGCGACGACGCGGACCGCAAGATCGGTGATTGGTCGGCTTGGTAGCATCGCATTTCCTCCTACGCATTTCCGCACGTACCTTCTCATGCATTTCCACACGTACCATCTCCTCCGACGTCTTCTCTCATTTCTGCCTTTCAGTTTTAGTAATTTCACTAAAATGAACTGTTTTTCCACCCCAATAAGCTCCAACTCCAACATGATCCACTCTCTTTCAGTCGCTATTGCTTGTAGTAACCTAGCCGCGAGGAATCTAAACACAGTGGAACATTAAAACCCTCCGCCGCCAACTAGCGTTTCGGAGCAGTACTGCAGAGCAACCAATACCTGAACGCAGAAGTATAAATGCTCACGACGGCGTCACCTACGTGCGAAGCCAACGCCGTACACTACGGCGTACCCTCGACGCAGAAGTATAAATTGGCCTTAAGAAAAGCTCAGCAAACTAAACGTTAAAGAGTGTGTAAAGGGATACTCCACTGTTTTTCATATTAAACTATGTTATTCCCTTAACTGAGACGAGTTGAAACGTACCTCTCTCGTCTCAGTGCGTGCACTCAATCGCGAGACACTTTGATAGCACTTAACTAGCCCAGTTCATTCATTAGGATCCAAGCAGAGAAGCGACCAAACACCTCCACGTTTTCCGTTTTTAAATACAGTTATACGAGTAGTGTAACTTGACCAAGAATGGTGACAAAATTAAATGTTGCGCTTTTCTAAGCGTGTAAACTGGATAACTATATTGTAAGGTGGAATACCACAGCAAGTGATTGGGAGCACTTCGACTCTGCGCAAATGTATCTATAGACTCGGCGCAGTAATATCATCACTCCAGAGGGGGAGAGGACTGTTCATGAGGGATAAACTCCAACTAAATTTTAAACAAAGTTTATTAAACCAAAATAATTTTGTTGTGCATTCTTTACTGTAAACAAATTCCATTGAACAACATCCGCCACACTCTGCCATTTTCTTTTAAGGCCTGCGATACAGGCAGTGGCAGAATTGTGCTTGATGGGAAGTCATGCATATACATTACGTGCTCTATGCTAATGCTATGCTAATTTGATTAATAGAACGTGTCTCTCCATGATAGATGCCCCCCCCCCCCCCCCGAGTGTCTCCAAAGCCACGCCTCCTTCAAAACACATTAACACGTACAGCAGGGAGCAAACAAAAGCAGTAACCAATTAAAAATAAGCTGTCGAACTCGTAGTTGATTGCTGGTGGTGTCAGATGGGAGTGTTTTCTGGCCTGAGGTTTAACAGGGTACCATCAGGAAACTCTTGTAACCTCTCGGTGTCACACAGACGGTTGAATGCTCTTGCCACACAAGAGGCTCATCTGGAGTGGCTTTGGGCTCTTTTCCGACACATTTTATTTTGTGTAAATGGTAAAGCAACAACCGGAGCTCTGCCGTTAGTGTTTGTAAGTGAAACCATGTATCATTGCTTTCAACCATGTTTCCAGTTGATTGATAAGGATTCAAGCCAAACTCAACCTCAAGCGTATCTGCTCGTCTTACTGAAGCATCTGTGCTTCCCGTGTACCATGCAGCCAGGGCAGTTGCATTGTTGTACGTCTTTTTTCATCCTGGTGTAGTTTTTCATGGTTTTAAACGAAGTTCAACATACTTCAGCTTTTGTTATTGGCCACATCAGTGTCATTTTGAAAACGATGGGCCATTTTAAGGAAGTCTGTGCCAGTACATGAATCTCGAGCTCGTCATGTAACATTTGTGTATGATAGTGTCCAGTTACAATAAAATATTTCACGTATTAAGAACAGTCACACCGATAACGATATAACGGTAACTAGCCTATATTAGGATCCACACCAATGCATAATATCTTTGTTTGTTTTACATGTATATCTTTCTGCCAGTTTACGTGCTCGAGCTCTTTCAAGCAGGATGGATTCTGATTGGCTGTTAATGTTTTACCATTTATCAGCTGGAAAAAAAGTTCTAAAAGTGATTTCATCAATATTATTCATTGTTATCTTCGTATTTGTGGTTTGGACTCTACTATTCTCATAGAAATAGAATGATTATTAAATCTTTAGAGATATTATTTATATAGTTAGGCTTGGTGTGAATGGGCCTTTAGATCTGCTGGGAAAGGGAATCCTGGCTGCTCCGGGAGAGAGAGAGAGAGAGAGAGTGTGTGGATGAGTAAGCAGAGCGAGTAGTGTGAGAAGTGTGTTGGTGTGCATGAATGAGTGAGCAGAGAGGAGGAGGGGCTGTTGGTGCATGTGCCACTCCGCTGGCCTCTTTTATCTGGTTTGCTGGAGCGATGTCAACAGAGGAGAGAGTGGACGGCCGGCACACTGCCGGAGATCAGCACAGGGAGAGGGAGGACGGGGGAAGCCCTGCATGCTGGAGACTAGGGATGGGCAACGATTAATCGCATCCAAAATAAAAGTTTGTGTTTACGTAATATATGTGTGTGTGGTGTGTATAATTATTTTGTATATATAAATACACACACATGCATGTATATATTTAAGAAATATTTGCATGTATATATATATAATTAATATTATGTATAAATATAAATATTTGATATATTAAGAACACATTTTTCTTAAATATATACATGCATGTGTTTGTATTTATATATACAAAATAATTATACACACCACACACACATATATCATGTAAACACAAACTTTTATTTTGGATGCGATTAATCGTTGCCCATCCCTACTGGAGGCCATAGTGAGCTGTGGAAAATGTAGTAACACTTTGATCAAAATGAATGCGTGTTTGATTGATATGCATGTTGCGACTGTAACATTTAATTGGCTATTTACTGTTGAGCCATGGTATTTTGCCATGATGTTTTGCATTATGCAAATGCTCATGTCATATGAATAAAATAGCACAATGAAGTAGGCCTAAATGTTTTTTTAACCATAGAAATTGAGAGGATTTTTCTTATCGTCTTATAGTTATCTTATTATATTATTGTTACCTTACACACTCAAGAATAAATCCATCCCAGACACGGAAGATGCTCTGATTTATTTTACCAACCAAACATGTTTTTCCAAATGTCATTTCTTCTTTTTCTCCCAAAGACGAATTCCTTTCTCTGTGTCAGACTTAACTTTGTTTGTTGTCGATTTATGCTAATGCTAGTTTCACACATACTCCGTTTGCAGTGTGTATGTGGTACGTATTTTACCCTACTCACAAATGTTGTGATTGTGGGACAGCCGTAGATCAGATGCGCACTGCAAGTTGCGCACTTTAGAGAAATCAAATTTTGTGTTGTTTACCAGGTCAGGTCATTTTCGACATGAGACTCTGTGTCTGGAACTTATGACGACTCATCTGGAATGATATTTCCATTTTTCTTTCGTTTGTAGATGGGCATGGCAGGTGGCAACAGTCCGTTTGGTCAGTACCAGGGTGGAGGGCAACAAATGGGCACGACTGGCGTGAACGCTCAGAATAAAGGCGGCCTTCCCAACAGCCTGCCCCCATTTCCAACTGACCTAAAAGGAGCGACGGTCACCAGCGTGCCAAACATGGTGAGTTTCCCATCATGCACCCAAACTAGATGGAGCTTGCAGGCCAGAGTTCATTCTGTGATGCTGGTTCTCTTGCCTGCAGCCTCAGCAGCAGCAGGTGTCGGTGGGGATGGTGGCAGGTCAGAGCGTGTCCGCAGGCCCCACGGCCGACCCGGAGAAGCGTAAGCTGATCCAGCAGCAGCTGGTTCTGCTGCTCCACGCCCACAAGTGCCAGCGCCGCGAGCAGGCCAACGGAGAGGTGCGAGCCTGCGCCCTGCCCCACTGCAGGACCATGAAGAACGTCCTCAACCACATGACGCACTGCCAGGCCGGCAAATCCTGCCAAGGTGAGTCCACATTGAATGAGTGTCGCTCTGCTTTTGACCTCAACATGAAAAGTTGTGCTGATAGTGTTACAGAAGGGCGATATTATAAAGTTGCTAAACAGAAGTTGGCAAGAATAGACAGCAGACAGGTAACGGCCAGCTCTAGGAAGGGTTCTGGTCGTCCCAAACGTCTTTCATTTTAGGATTATGGAGGCCACTGTGCTCTTAGGAACTTTAAGTGCAGCAGAAATTTTTTTGTAACCTTGGCCAGATCTGTGCCTTGCCCCAATTCTGTCTCTGAGCTCTTCAGGCAGTTCCTTTGACCTCATGATTCTCATTTGCCCTGACATGCACTGTGAGCTGTAATGACTTATTATATATGTAATATACTTGTGTTGCACATTTTTATCTGTGGTATTTTATACAAATTAATGAAGAATTAATAATGTAAAGAATTGCATGCATGGAAACAATATTCATTATTTAAAAATGAGTTTAAAATAAGTTTCTTATTTTCGTGCATGTATGTAACACAATATTTATTTACATACAACATGACACATTTATTAAAACATGTAACAAATTTGGGTTGTTTTTGGAACAAGTGTTGAGTGAAGAGTGATTTCGTGCAGAAAGTTTGTGTGTGTGAAAGAGCGAATCAATTGAGGTGTGTCTGCTGTATTTCGTGGGTTGAGGTGCGCTTTAAATCTGCTGTCTGTGCTCTGTTTAGTCTCAGCGAGAGCGGTAATGAGACGTTTTTTGTCCTGATGTGGGGTTTAGAGCATTGTGTGCGTCAGACAAAGCTGCAGCACTACACCTCGCTCTTTGAATAACATCCGATTTTATAGCACATTCGAAAGTATCCCCATTGTGGTTTGTAACCACCACAATAAAGGACGTCAAATATCACGTTTGTGCGCTTGCATACGTTTATTTCTGGCCTAACACTTTTCGCTTCACAACTAGTAATGTTTCATTCACAAACCCAGGGAATTTCCAGAGCAAATGCTTTGCTCCGTCTCAAATATAACAGTCCGTTTAGAGAGAAACTCATGCCTGTATGGTATAATGCAGTATTAAGGAGTTGGCAAACAGCAGGAGAGGGCTTGCGGCGGCCCGATGCTGCCCGGCTGCTTTGCTCTTAGTGCTGTAGTTGTTGTTGGACCCGGAGCACAGGGCTTTATTTCAACTCAAATGCAAGCGTTGTGCCAAACGTACCCTGCACGCTGCCAGCTCATTTCCTGTTGTTTCCTGCCCGCGGTGACACCCGTATCTCTCTCACTTGGACTCCTGGCGAAAGGCATGAACATCTATAGAGATCATTCTTAAAGCGTCATGTTCTTGCAGACAGTGTTTAAAGCATCCTGAAGGCTCTTGGCAGAACTCGCTTCCTTTTAGGATGCATCGGCACTGTTATGAAATAATCACAGCAGCAATAAATCATAATTGTCTCTATACTGGGAACTTGTGTGTATGATTTAAAAAAAGAAATGAAACTTGAGTTCAGTAACTAGTTATATTTACTTAAATACTTTACAGCACTGCTTTAAAAATACGTAAAGAATAACGGCCTGAATTTCATTTTTGGATTATCGTGGGGAATTCCCCCCTTAGGTGACTGTGTTTGTGTTTTTAAAATGGGGTAATTTTGTTGCACACAGCACAAGGAAGCTTGATTTGAAATTCAATTGAATTGAATTTACAAAAAAAGACAAGTAAACAAGAAGAAATGAAAAAGCAGAAGCACAAATAAATACAATAAAATAAAAGTACACAGGAAATTCTCACTGTGTCCGAAATTTCCACTCGCACCATGGCGCGTTTAATGATAAACATTAAAATGCTCATGGTAACTTTTGTTAACTCTACAATAAGTAAATTCACTTAACCAGCTAATTACTCCTCGACAGCGATGTCATGGAAATATACAGAGCGACCGCAAAACCGAAAGTTCAAAGACAATATTCTAAAGATGACGGCGCCCACGTTTCTCTGGTGCATAGTGCCGAGCCGGCTCTGGGCTAAATAGATTTTTTTAAAATAAATACATTACATTATATTGAGCTTATTTCTCCAAAATGTAAGTAATTTCTGTCCGTTTCTGTTATAATGTGCTACTCCACACATGATTATAACTTATTTTTGCGATCTGTGCAATGCATGATGGTACTAGGGCTTGGGTTAGTGACCACCGGTTGTACACTACTTTTCAAAATGCATTCTGGGAGACATTGAGTGGACTTTATAGGGAATAATAATCATCACTATACATTCGGACAGCACTACAAAACGGCGAGCTCACTATATAGTCCACTATAGCCCCTTTCCACCAAAGCATTTTGAGAGCCGGTTCGGAGCCGGTGCCTGCGCGCGAACCAGTTCTTTGTGTTTTGACAGCCAAAGAACCGGTTCTTGGCCAGGAGAACTGGTTCCAAAGCGGCACCAACTCTTTGCTGGACTAGAACCGTTCTTTTACCACGTCATGCTTACGTCGGGGGCTGGGGCGGGTTTAGATGTGTCCTAAACATCTTTTCTGACCATAATAAACGATCGCTAAGCCAAGAGAAACATTTGCAGAAACACGATGGAGTCCGCCTTTGTAATTGTTATGCTTGAAGTTAACGCAAGCGTTTCTATTTTTGTAATTTTTTTATTGAAGACATTATAAGCAAAGAAGAAAAGTCACAATATAGAACAAATAAATGGAAAGAAAAAAGTTTCTTGGTACACGAGTTAGAGATAATCCGAAAGTAATGTTGTATTTGCAAGCGTTTCTAGCTAAGACGTATGGCGACGTACACAGTGACGTGCGACGTCGTTCCCAGGGCGCTCTAGTCAGTGGAAAAACAAACAGGTTCTGAAGCGGTTTGCAAGTTGAACCAACTCCGAACCAACTTTGAACCAGCACCAGTTCCGAACCAGTTCTTTTTTGGTGGAAAAAGGGTATATATAGTGAGTAGTGGGTGATTTCGGACACAGCCACAGAGTGCTTTAAGGATTTCATTTCGGTCAACAGTATTCAGGTACAGGAATGCTACAGAAATTGAATAAATTGTATAAATTAAATACAGATGAATTTTTCTCGCTTTCTTTTGTTGTTTTATTAACATTAATGACTCACAGCAGCAGGTTCATTAGGCTGGCGTCACTTTAAAAGCTAATGCACGGATCCAATAGAATGATACACATGCATTTTTTTTTTTCTTTACGGTTTGTTTACATCAAGACATCACTGACTGTGTTTATGTGAGTACTTGCCAAGATGGTCAGAAATGCACAATCTTTTCTAAATGCCCATTTAAGTGCAACAATCCATGAAAAAGCACAGTTTGTTACTCGCGAGCTGTTTGAGAGGTGGCTTTGTGTGTGTGCAGTCAAATACTACCGAATGCTTTAAAATCATGTCTGTGTGGTCCTTGAAGACCTGCTTTCCCACAGGACCTTTTTTGCTCCCAGTTTTGCAGCATTTGTACTTTGGCTCAGGCTTTCTCCTCTCTCTGTCTCTGCAGTGGCTCACTGTGCTTCATCGAGGCAGATCATCTCGCACTGGAAGAACTGCACGAGGCACGACTGTCCCGTCTGCCTCCCGCTGAAGAACGCCAGTGACAAGCGCAACCAGCAACGTGAGTCTTTCCTGCGTCAAACATCCGCCTCTTCTTTACTTCACTACAATATAGAATAATTATGTACAGTTAATAATTCTGTATTTTTATGTTAATAATTATTTATATTAGAGCCAGACCGATATATCGGCTGACCGATATTATCGGCCGATATTAGGCATTTTTCAAATTATCGGTATCGGCAGTTATAAAGGCCGATAAATGAATATTTCAAAAATAAAATAAAAACGGACGAAACATGCTTGAACCATGTCACGAGTGTTGGAGTTGTATAGTTTGTCCACCAGAGGGCACTCTACACCGTTCCTGTTGGCAACACTCGTTGAGATGGTCACGAGACATACATTGCTTGAATAACAATTAAAAGAACATCCCCCATCAAGTTCTCTTAACTCAAGTAAGCATGACAAAATTTCTGACTATCATGTCCAATTTAAAATAAATAAATAACTAAAATATCGGCCGATATATCGGATTTTAAAACCCAAAAATATTTGTATCGATATCGGGCATCAAAATCCTTTATCGGTCGGGCTCCAATTTATATATTTATATCACATCTGAAATGATAATACTAATTATGTATTATAGTTGTATTTAATTTATAAAAAAAAAAATGTCTAAGAAATAACAAATGGACAATTGAGAATTATAAATTATGAAATATACAATGATGACAGATTCAAAACTGCCTTATATTTGAGTTTCTTAGTTGGTAGATTCCAGCTTTGCACTGTTTGGATGTTTTCTCTATAAACTTGCCGTGATGCCCACGTGAGAAGTTTTAAAATAGTACTTTTACACTGTGAACTTTAAAGAATACACTTAATTAGTGGAAAATTAATTACTTGTTTTTAGGCACTTAATTACACGTTAATTGCCATCAAATGAGAATGTTTTATAGTTTAAATTTAAAATAAATGCAATTGTTTTTATCCACTCAAGGAGGACTTGATATCTATTTCATTTCATAATTACTTCTGTTGAGATTTAAGATTACATTTATTTGAATGAATGAATTATAGTATTTATTTGAATTAGTTCTTGAGAGAGATGAGAGATGCGTGTGTGAATTACCTGCATCTGTTCAGAGTTTCTCTCTTTCTGTTAACAACAAAGCTGTGAGTTTAATTACTTAAGAATAGCCACTATTTTATTACTAAAAGTCACGGGACAGCGATTCTCTGCTCCTGAATTTTTCTGTGCTCACCGCAACCTCTGTTCTTCTACAATTAAGTGCACTACTTTTTAGTTTAAACAATATTCCAACAGTATCCAAAAAGTCATGCTTTAAACAGTATCCATTAAAATAGTTGTAATCACTGTTTATATTTGTCCATCAAGCATTTAAACGTTTAGATCAAAATTCAGAATTAGAACAAATTCAGTTTCATGATGTTTTCTGAAGCATCATTGTAGTTCAGCAGCTGTGAGTGCGTGCATGTTTTACGTGCCCGCGTGTGTTTGCTGAGGAGGAGGGGCTCGAAAGATGAGGAGATTCGTGCCGCCCCGCTGGCTGAGCGGTGACTCATTAAAATCTCACGCTGTTACAGCTCCAGCAAACGGCCTCTCCCTCTTCCAAGCGTCTCTCATCATGACTCGGAGAGTGCGAGGCAGCTAAAGTGTTTGTTTTTGCGCTGCGGGATTTACATGTTGGAGAGTCTACTTTGTGATATTTCTTCCTCATGCAAATGGCGTCTTGGACCCACTCCCCTTCCTTTCTACTTCCCCCCACAAATAATGTGTTCTTCCAGATGGCTGTTTGGCTGGCTGTTTTTTTTTTTTTTTTAGCTTTTTGTTTTGATGGACTGATACTGCTAAATGTTAAAGCAGAATCAGACACAAAATTTCACGCATATCTTGTTTGAAATATGCAGATGTCGTCTTCCCAGAAGGCTTCTAACCTCTATTTCCTGCATTATAGCAATGCTGAGTCCCCCCAACGCTGGTCTACAATCCCCCATCGGGTCGGTCGGCACGGGGCAGCAGACGGCACCCGCTCTACCCAGCTCCACGCCCATCGACCCCAGCTCCATGAAGCGGGCATACGCTGCCCTCGGCCTCCCCTACAGCAACCAGAGCCCCACACAGACCCAATCCCCTGCACAGACGCAGGGCCCCGGGCAGCCGACCGCACAGACACCACACCAGCAGCAAATGAGACCCATCAATGCGCTCGGTAAACACTTAATTACTTTATTGTCAAGAAAATAAATATTTTTTTACATATATATATATATATTAATATGTGTGTGTGTGTGTGTATATATATATATATATATATATATATATAGTTATGTAGTAAAAAAAATATATAAAGAAATGTATATTGAATATTATATATGTTAAATAATAAAATTAAACTTGTATTTATATATATATATATATATATATAATTAAAAAAATATAAAGAAATTTATATTGAATATTATTTAATTTTATTTTTACTTGTAAAAATAAACTTGTATTTATGCGTACATATATTGTGTTAAATCATAAATGAATATAATAAATTAAAACGAGTACATATATATATTGTTGAAATATATGAAATTTGTATAAATGATTTTAATTTAATTTATGTATATTTATTTACTTTTATAATTGTATTTATTCGTATTTCTAAATGTTTATTGTTTGTCCAGGGGGTGGTCAGTTGAACCAAATCGGCGTCCCGACGTCAGAACAGACTAAGCTGCTCCCAGATGGCACCATGTCGTCAACACTTAACTCTAACAAGTACGACACGGACACACCAACCAAAACACACATCTCCAGCTCTTAATTGCTAAAAATGTATGTTTCCTCAAATCTGTTTGCTAACTAAGTCTCCTGATTCCCCTGGTGCAGTCAGCTGATGCCGGACGGCACTACGGTAGGCAGCATGGGTAACCTGCCCACAGCGGCCCCTCTGTCAGCCACCGGTGTGAGGAAAGCCTGGCACGAGCATGTCACTCAGGACCTCCGTAACCACCTCGTACACAAACTGTTAGTAAAAAGCTGCTCTTGCACTATATATAGATTTAGTCAATTCTCACTATTAACTACAACTTTTGTCTCAATAAACTCATAAATACTGCTTATTAATAGTTAGTAAGGTAGTTGTTAAGTTTAGGTTTCAGGAAGGATTAAGTTTAATATTCCCATTGAGCCATATTGTGGTTCCTGTGACCAGATTTAAGACGTCTTAAAGTTAAAATAAAATGCAAACTTCAGCTATGGTATATTTTAAAATGTAATCAATGTCCTGTTGATCCAGTGGGATTGTTCTTTGTCACTTAAACTTAGAAAAAACATAGTGCTCTGTGTGTTTTAGTGTGCAGGCCATCTTCCCTACGCCAGACCCCGCCGCCCTGAAGGACCGCCGTATGGAGAACCTGGTGGCGTACGCACGAAAAGTGGAAGGGGATATGTACGAGTCTGCCAACAGCAGGGTGAGCGAACCTCATCCTAAAAGTGTGTAAAGTGAAATTCTTTAGGACTGTTGATTTTAACAATGCAGTCTGTGTGTGTTGCACAGGACGAGTACTATCACTTTCTGGCGGAGAAGATCTATAAGATCCAGAAAGAACTGGAGGAGAAGAGAAGGTCTCGATTACAGAAGCAGATTATTAACCAGGCACCTATGACTGCAGCGGGACAACAGTCCAACCAGCCTAATGTCATGGGCCCTCGGCAGAGTGAGTCATACAACCCGAAATCTCTCATTTATGCTGTATTATCAGCAAATATTGGATTCAATTGTTTTGTCATTTGGGGGAGGAGTTGTTTTAGTCAAATTTTATGACATTAATTAGAGGTTAAAAATGCACAAACTTTGCCAGCCTTCTGATCTCATTTTGTCTCATCCCTCTCTTCAGATGGACCCGTGCCTATGCCTAATGTGCCAAATCAGATCATCAATCGCATGCAGGTGTCTCAAGGTACTTCGCCAGTTCCACTCGCCGCAAATCATGTCTGGGAAACACATTTGTTTTCTCAACTTTTTGCGTTATCAATCTTGTGTGATGTCTTTTCCAATAGGGATGAATCCATTCAGTGCAATGCCCAATGTGCCGATGTCTCAGGCTCCCATGGCAACACGTGCTGCCTCTCCGATAAACCATCAACAGATCAACATGAACCAAGTCCCTACGGTCGGTCTTCATTTCTGGTTCAATCAATCAATCAATAAAATGTTATTTATATATCACTTTTCCAAACAAATCAATGCAGATCCAAGTGTTTTACAGGAGGCAAGAACAAGAAATTGACACTAGGATTAAAATAAGACCCAATAATAGGTTATAACAATAACATTAAAAGACATGTATTAAAATTAATGCACTATTACAAGAAAGCCACACTAACAATTTTCATTTAGGTTTAAAACTATACTTTATTCTATTTATTTATATAGTATATATAGTATATATGCTATATTTTCTGAACACGCATCTTATATATATATATATATATATTGGTCCCATTTTATATTAAGTGGCTTTAAGTACTATGTACTTACATTGAAATTAATAATTTGATACAATGGACTTATTGTGTACATGCATGCTTTTACGTTGTACTTATATTTTGAAAATACCTGCATGTTATTACAGCTGTAATAAATGTAATTACGTTTGTAATTACACAGTTGACCCTTCCCTTACACCTTAACCCACCCTTAAACCAACCCATACCAACACACCTGTCCCTAACCTTACCCGTATCGCACCTCAATAGCTGCAAAAGTGTTTTACAATAGAACCTGAACAAAATAAGTACATTGTACTTATTTTTCGATGTAAGTACATAGTACTTAAAGCCACTTTATATATATATATATATATATTTCTTGCTTTTTTCAGGTAAATATGTCTCCCACGCGAATGCCCCCAACGCAAGGCATGCTGGGAGCTCACGCTGGGAACATGGTGGCGCAGACAGCCAATCAGACGCCGTTCATGGCTCAACCGCAGTTCCCTGCCAACACCAATGCCATGAACGTCAACATGGGCCAGCCCAACTCGCAGGCGGCCGTTTCACAGGTGCGCACCTGCACTCACGTTCCTAAAGTAATCTTTTTCCGCATGGCGATTTTCCCCTCTTAACAAGTTGTGTCCCTGCTTGTGTGCGTGCAATCTCTCCTTCCCCAGCAGCAGCCGAACGCTAACCTCCCCCTGAATGCACTTGGGCCCTTGGGCCCGTCACTAGGCTGCCCCGCGCCCCCTCAGGCTCCACTCCGCTCCACACCACCCCCCAACGCCACCGCCAGCACCACTAACCTGCCAGCGGCACTGCAGCCCAGTCGGGCCTCCACACCCAACCCCGCCCCTGCTCAGGGCACCCCGCCCCACATGCAGCCCCAGGCGGAGCTGCCCCTCCCTGGAACACCGGTGAGACCCTCCAGAGCCGTCCTCAAATGACCGTTACGGAACCAAGTGAGCTGCCCCGCATAGGCAGCATCGAATTTGTTTAGGCACCACACAAATTGCACTTCATATGAAACTAGGGTTACATGAATTAATTGTGATTTTTCTTTAGTTTTTTAAAGTTTAAATTGATATTTAAAATGTTTTGGAGAAGCCAGGTTTGCTATGCTTGTTTGTTGGGGGGCTAGATTTGGCCCAAATATTTTGACTCTAAAATAATAACCCTACACCAGGGTTTAGGGTTAAGGTAGCCATTGACTTGCATCGTTTTTTTTTGTATCAACTGGCTGGTTACTCACGTTCTTCAAAATATCTTCTTTTGGGTTCAGCAGAACAAAACAAAAAAGCTCCAGTTTGGAGCAACTTGAGGGAGAGTAAATGATGACAGAATTTTTACTTTTGGGTGAATTATCTTTATTATCTTCAATACGGTAAACCATCAAGCTTTGTTACCACTATTTGGTTACATTTTTTCAGTAAGCTCAACTGCTGCATTGTTTTGGAAAAGCGACTGGGGTCTAAACTTCCAAATATGTCCTGCGCCTGCGTGAGAGGAAATAACTCCATACCAGCAGGTGGCAGTAGTTGTTATCCGTTTCATTCCTCATTCAAGAAGAGAAATCGGAGAGCTTGGACATAAAGCAGTGCTGGTTTACCTCGCTACCATCGTTTGCTTGTTTCGTAACTTCCGTTTGTCTCTTTCTGTACTGTCACCAACATGCTTCGCTACCAATTCGACATGCTCAGTTGACCAAAAAGCTGCCGACAGTGGTCTAACTAGTGCTGACGATGCAGAACACATTATAAAAAGCAATGCTGACAAACACTCAACGGCGGCCTGACATTGGCCAACGGCTTGGTGTGTAACGGCCTTTAATGTTCGGTAACTTTTGCAGTTATTCTGTAAATTTTTGTGGCCGAAATCCAGTCACTTTAATAGCATGAAATCGAGATGGTAAACGATTTCCCCATGCAAATTTCGCAACGGGTTCAAGTCATTCACACATCCGCCTGTGTTGACTACAAAGTAGAACATGGATCTTTTTGCCCGTGATATTTTGCCATCTTTAGGGATGGCTCAACTTTGACCTCAGTAGGCCGCTCACTAGGTTTTGGAACAATGTTATGTTATTGTTATCGAGTAAAACTGTCATCTGTCAAAAATGAGATGGTCATTTTTCAGTTTTAAAACAAAAATTGTAAAGGCAGTAAATCAGACTCTCTCTTTCAGAGTGGTGAAAACCGTGTACCCACTCCAGCATCAGCAGCCAGCACCGAGCTGCACTCCCAGCATGCCGTGCCTGACGTACCGCCCAGTGACACTAAAACAGAAGATCAGGACTGTGACAAAAGCATCAAAACAGAGCCTAAGATGGAGGTATGTATTATATTTTTATATTGTAAATATGTATTGTATTTTATATTCAGATTTCTGAATAATTGAGTAATGATGCTTAAAATTCAGCTTTGAATCACAGGAATAAGTTGCACTTTAAAATATGTGTTCAAATAGAAAACGTAATATTATCATTTTTCCCAATATTACTGTTTTGACTGTATTTCTAATCAAATAAAGGCAGCCTTAATGAGAATAAGAGACTTTAAAGATTTGTCAGATTCTGATGATTGTTCTGATCTCTGTTAGACGGAGAACGACACAGGCTCCCAATTGGTCAAAAAGGAGGAGCAAGAGGGGTTGGAGGCTAAGCAGGAGCCAATGGAGGCGGAAGACAAGAAGATGGACTTGAAGACCGAGACCAAAGAGGAGGATGAAAGCAGGACAAACGGCACGACGTCCTCTTCACCGCCCCAGTCTCGCAGGAAAAGTATGAACTCTCGATTTTTCTCTTCTGTGAGCTCTACAATTCTCTGTCCTTGTTGTTTTTTGTTGTTAGTTTAATTAAAGATACCACATTATGCCCCTTTTCAAAGTCTTTATTTTGTTTTTGGGGTCCACTAGAAGAGGTTTTCATGCTTAAATGTCCTTCTGAAAAGCACAATGTTCTCTAATTGGTTGACCACTTTGGCCGTGTTTGAGAAATGAGTTTCAACACACTAACTAACTAACTCAACCAGGCCTTGCCTCTTTATTTTGCATATGCCTTAGACAGAACTTATTTAAATGAATAATATTGTGACATGTTCGTTTCCGGAAGAAAACTCTAGACTACAATGGAGGCATTTCAGGGAAACAATGAGCACTGATATAGAGAATAACTCTCTCTGGAGTGACTTTCTGCTACATTATGCACTTAAAAAAGTTGAAAATGTGAAAAAGTACAATAGGTCCTCATTCATCTTTTGTCTTTCCCTGTCTTTTGTGTTTCCCACTCTCTCTTTCTTCTCAGTCTTTAAGCCAGAAGAGTTGCGGCAGGCATTGATGCCGACGCTGGAGTCTCTGTACAGGCAGGATCCAGAGTCTCTGCCCTTCCGACAGCCTGTGGACCCGACACTTCTGGGCATCCCTGTGAGTCTTAAACGCATACGTGCTTACATCTCTGTAAAAAAGACCGGAAAATATATCTAATTACCCAAGTGTGAAAACTGAATTATGAAGGTGTTTCCTTTCCTGCCTTAAGGACTACTTCGATATCGTGAAGAATCCCATTGACCTGTCAACTATCAAACGCAAACTAGACACGGGTCAGTATCAGGAGCCCTGGCAGTACGTAGACGACGTGTGGCTGATGTTCAACAACGCGTGGCTGTACAACAGGAAGACGTCGCGCGTGTACAAGTACTGCTCTAAACTGGCTGAGGTGTTCGAGCAGGAGATCGACCCGGTCATGCAGGGCCTCGGTTACTGCTGCGGGAGGAAGGTGAGATGACCAATTCCACAGATAATAACAACTGTAATAATAATAATATTAATATGCAAATAAATGTATTTTTGAATACGGAACTGAACAATGACACTATTGTCTTGTGAGAGCTGCTTTACAGCAGAATTGAAGGTTTGCATATCTAAGTCTGTTATTGTCCTGTTATCACTGTAAAGCTGCTTTGAAACAATCTGCATTGTATAAAATGCTATATAAAAAAAGGTGACTTGATGTTTTTAATAAATGGTACCGTTAAATTGCTCTGCTATTATTAATAATTATTATAAATGTGCTAATAAATATGTAGTGTGTGTGTTGTGTGTGTGTGTGTATATATATATATTATTGTTTAACAAATCGTTGCTTTATAATATCTTCACAAAAATAATTCATAAATAATATTTATAAAATATCAATAATGTGCACTAATAATAATGAGAATGCACAAATAAATAAAATATTAAATATATAATTATTTAATAAATTGTTATTCAATAATATTTTTCCACAATAATAATAACAATACTAATGTGGAAATAAATGTGTATTAAATATATAATTGGTTATACAATAATTATGCATGACAATATTGATAATAATAATTGTGCAAGAAAATGTGTATTAAATAGTGTATAAATAGCATAGTAAATGGTTATACAATATCTCTCCGCAAAAGTATATATATATTTATATTAAATATGTTATTATATAGAAAATGAGTGTTCAACAATCTCTCCACAGTAATAATGGGGAAATAAATATACAATGTATAGTATATAGAAAATATACTACAAAAAAAAAAGTTAAAAGGCAAAATATTTGGATTTATGGAAACGTGAATAATTTTTGACATGCCATACTTTTGTTATGTATGTGTTAAGCATGTTATCCACATCACAAATTAAGCAGTTTTGTCTAAGTATAAATTTGTTATTTTTGCCAACATACTTATGGTTCAGGTTTTGTGGTACATGTAATAGTAATACAACAGTGGTTCAATTATTGTCATATTTTCAGTGCTACTGTTCCAGTATTTTGGTATTAGCCGTTCAACTGACTCCTACTGGTCATCTGTACACAAACTGACATAAAACAGGATTTTCCAGCCATCTTTCTAAACTCTTTTCTCCTTTCCTCCAACAGTACGAGTTTTCTCCTCAGACACTTTGCTGTTATGGGAAGCAACTGTGTACGATACCCAGAGATGGCACTTATTACAGTTATCAGAACAGGTGAGATGATGCACTTGCCATTCCTTGAGGGAACATCCATGTTGTCAACAGCCTTAGGAGACATTTAAGAGGACAGTTGCAATTGAAGCAGACGTGCTCCCTGTCATGTAGTGTGGTTTTTAGTTTTTGTTCGTCAGATCAGACACTGGCATTGTCAGACACTGACACGACACTGGCTAAGCTTTTGACGGCATACTCGCTCTCAACCCCCTCCCCCATTTCTCTTTCTTCACAGTTACTCAGTTTGAAATCTCCAGCCAGTCCTAATTTATTGGCAGTTGTAATATTTGCACTGGCACATTTATGAGTTTTTCTTTTTGCTGCAAATTGCCTGCTACATCAGAACAGGCTCCCTTGCGCCCCCTGTAGCAGAGAGCATGTTACTGCCAAACAGACACAGCTTATACACTCGCATCCACTGAATTTGGTCTTTTTCATATTAGCATCCCTTAGTCGTAGTTATATACATCCTGGCATTAATGTTTCCCAGTTAACACTTGGAAGCATTCACATTACATTTGCACTGTTATATTCGACAGGCATGTCATGACATTCAGGAAATAATCATCATACAAACTCGCTCTTGTGTGAATTGCTTGTGCACCTCCATGTAATTCCTGAAGTGCTTCACGACTCAACTTGTGTTTATTGTGACTATAGGTATCATTTCTGCGAAAAGTGTTTCAACGAGATTCAGGGTGACAGTGTGACGCTAGGAGATGATCCTGCTCAGCCACAGACGTAAGTGATTGTTCCCCTTCTCATTTAATATTTATATTCAAGCGTGATTCAAGAGATTTTACGGATCTAAATCATTCAGAATAAATATTTGAATGTTTTAAATGTTCAATTTGTATCTGATCTTCTTTGAATGCAGCATGATCTCTAAACACCAGTTTGAAAGGAAGAAGAATGACACGTTAGATCCTGAGCCGTGAGTAAAAGCTAAACTTTGTTTCCCAGAATTCCATGAGGCAGCAATCAAGTAGCGCATGCTCTAATAGAATGGCCGTATGGTCTGTATTGCCTCATACATGGGTCCGCACTGGACTCATTACAAGGGGTGCCCGATAGATCGTCCACCATATTGGTATCGGCCTATATTTGCTCATTTTTATGTTATCGTTATCGGCCCGATAATCAAATTTGGCTGATATATTAAAGCTGATAAATAATGAATTATTTCCTTCAACACTTGACACCTGAGACACTTAAGATGCGCACTGTTCAACATGATTGATCTTAATTGCTTGAAATATGATTGGAATCAAAAAGGAAAATTTAGTTAAGCTGTCATATCGGCTACATGAAATTATAATGAGAACATTACAATTGTGTTAGGGGACTGATTTTAATTGTGAGACTTTTGTTTTTGCAATTAGAATTTCAAAAATTATATAAAAATTGGATTTACATTTATAGGCCGATATATCGGTTATCGGATTTCAAATATAAAGAATTATCGGTTATCGGTATCGGCCAAAATGTTCATATCGGTGCATCCCTACTCATCACACCACATTGTTTCTGCTCAGTGGCGCCCCCTATTGTAACCAACTTGGGGCATACACTCCCACCACACTCCCTACTCATCACACCACATTGTTTCTGCTCAGTGGCGCCCCCTATTGTAACCAACTTGGGACATACACTCCCACCACACAAACGTAACACTAACATTCTCCAAGTATCAGTATTATCCTAAAGTTGTCCAAATCCACACCTCCTACAAAGGCGCAATTGCATTGGCCTGCTTGCAAATGCGTAAGAACTGGAGGAAAAGAATCCGAATGATGTTTACATCTTAACTAACTGCACTTGCAGTTAGTGATTACACATTCAGACACTTGCCAAAGTGATACCTGTCAGAATACAGAGCTTATGTCCCCCATTAATCAATTTTCCTCTTCTCAGGTTTGTTGAATGTAAAGATTGTGGGCGGAAGATGCATCAGATATGTGTCCTGCATTATGATGTCATCTGGTCTTCTGGGTGAGTTTGAAAGCACCTCAGAGCGAACAGTGTTGCTTTAATATCGATTCTGGACGCGATGCGGGAAATCGGTACTAATGAGGGTTTCTCTCTGCAGTTTCATTTGTGCTAACTGTTTGAAAAAGAGCGGAAAGTCGAGAAAAGAGAACAAGTTTTCAGCAAAAAGTAAGTAATAGGTCTGTTCATGTGATGCATTAAAATTAAATTAATAGTTCAACCCTGAAAACTGAGTATTCTGTCATCCATCACGTCGTTCCAAACCCTTAAGACTTTCGTTCATCTTTAAAGCACAAATAAAGATATTTTTAACGAAACCTGAGCGATTTCGGTCCCTTCTTTGAAAGTCTGTGCAACCAAAACTTGGACGATTGAAAAAGTTCATAAAGACAGTGGTTTAATCTCAAGTCTTCTGATTGGTTTAAATAATGGACATATTTAATTTAGCCTTAAACATTGATCATCTCACACACAAAGCACATCAAATATGGTAAATGGAAGCTTAAATTTGCATGTTTAAGCTTTCATTCAACATATTTGATGGTGAAATCTTTCAGGTTTCATTATAAACTAAATTGTTTTTGTGCTAAATGTCGTTTTCGATCCAGGGTTGCAGACAACGCGGTTAGGCACGTACATAGAGGATCGTGTGAACAAGTATTTGAAGCGACAGAACCATCCGGAAGCTGGAGAGGTGTTTGTGCGAGTAGTAGCCAGTTCGGACAAGATGGTAGAAATCAAACCTGGCATGAAGGCCAGGTAAATTTAATCTTGCTTACCTTTTATTTTCCTATAAGCCAATCTCACAATATGATGTTTTAACCTTCAGAGGGCAAGTATGGATGGCAAAACCAATCAGTTAACTGGTTTGGTTGCTCTGTATGTGCTGTGTTGTGTAAATAAAAAAATATTGTGTTTGACTTATTTGCCTGATCAAAGTTTCCCCCGTTTCAATAATCAAAATGTTGATGCTGTAGTGGCGTGTTCATATTTGTTCTTTGAAAAAGTAATCCTCCGTTTCACTTCAGGTTTGTAGACACAGGAGAGATGTCTGAGACCTTCCCCTACAAAACCAAAGCACTTTTCGCCTTTGAGGAGATTGACGGAGTGGACGTGTGTTTCTTCGGCATGCATGTTCAAGAGTACGGCTCTGATTGCCCTTTCCCGAACACCAGGTAAACTCTTACCTAAGTTCTGTAGTGAAAAACAGATGCATAAAGCAACGCTTATAGTGCTCGGCATGCAATGAAGTTAAAAGTCCCTCTTTGTCTTTTTTCACCTACCTAGACGGGTATACGTATCGTACCTCGATAGTATTCACTTCTTCAGACCTCGCATGTTGAGAACAGCAGTCTATCACGAAATTCTCATTGGCTATTTGGAATATGTCAAGAAGCTTGGGTAGGTTTCACCATTTACTTTTTACTCAAGTCCAACCATTACGGTTGCCATTCATGCCCTGAACTTTGAACATTTCCACTGTAGATACGTTACGGCGCACATCTGGGCATGTCCGCCTAGTGAAGGTGATGACTATATCTTCCACTGTCACCCTGCCGACCAGAAAATCCCCAAACCCAAGCGCCTACAAGACTGGTACCGCAAAATGCTGGACAAGGCCTATGCTGAGCGGATACTACACGACTACAAGGTATAGCAGAGACCATATGATCTTTTTGTAAAATAGAAACCAATTCATTGTGTATTTGCCAATGAGCACCTCAATATATGGTATAAATGACAGGTGTTTGTATTTGATAGGATATCTTTAAGCAAGCCACAGAGGACCGTTTGACGAGTGCAAACGAACTTCCATATTTTGAGGGTGATTTTTGGCCCAATGTACTGGAGGAGAGCATCAAGGAGTTGGAACAAGAGGAAGAGGAGAGGAAAAAAGAAGAAAACACGGCTGCTTGTGAAACTCCAGAGGTGAATGAGAGAAACCTTTTTTTTTAAATATACAGTATGTACATCTCTGGCCTATGTGAAGTAATTCCTGTTTTATAAACCTGAAAACTCCTATTTAGACATCCTGACATTTTCCTCCTTTCTAACAGGGCACGCCAGGGGACAGTAAGAATGCGAAGAAGAAGAACAATAAGAAAACAAATAAGAATAAAAGCAGCGTGAGCAGAGCTAATAAAAAGAAACCTGGGATGCCGAATGTAGCCAATGACCTTTCTCAGAAACTCTACGCCGCATTGGAGAAACACAAAGAGGTCTACTATATGTTCTTCATCTGACTTTTAAGCTGCTCTCTGAGGCATTGCATGATTCATTTGCATTGTTTGTTCTGAATGTCAGCTTTTGATATGCATGGAAGCCAAGTGGTTTTCTTGGGAATATCTTGAAGAAACCTCTTACCTGTTCCTACTTGTTCTCCCAGGTGTTTTTTGTAATCCATCTGCACTCTGGGCCCATAGTCAACTCACTACTACCCATCATTGACCCTGATCCCCCACTGACCTGCGACCTGATGGACGGAAGGGATGCCTTCTTGACCTTAGCACGGGATAAGCACTGGGAGTTCAGCTCTTTGCGGCGCTGTAAGTGGAGCACCATGTGCATGCTGGTGGAATTGCACAACCAGGGCCAGGACCGCTTTGTCTACACCTGCAATGAATGTAAACACCATGTCGAGACACGTTGGCACTGTACTCTCTGTGAGGTAAGATCCATAGGCTTCTGTAATATGCTACAGCTGTCCTTAATGATCAGTAGTGGATGGGTAACGTTCATTGGTTTTATTTTGATTTGAATCTTGGGGGTAGCTACTATTCTACTAGTAGTACAAACAAATCCTAATGCATTACTTAACATCTTAACTTTTACTTAACTTCTTATAATGAGATGACTTTTTATGTTCCGGTCATCCCTTGCTTGATCACGGTGTCCTCATCTTTCCTCAGGACTTTGACCTGTGCATTAGTTGCTACAACACTAAGGGCCATGAGCACCAGATGGTTAAGTGGGGTCTGGGTCTGGACGATGACAGCAACAGCCAAAGTGGCGAAGCCTCCAAGAGTCCTCAGGAGAGTCGGCGTCTGAGCATCCAGCGTTGCATCCAGTCTCTGGTGCATGCCTGCCAGTGTCGCAATGCCAACTGCTCCCTGCCATCTTGTCAGAAGATGAAGCGTGTGGTGCAACACACTAAGGGCTGCAAGCGCAAGACAAACGGTGGCTGTCCGGTGTGCAAGCAGCTCATTGCGCTCTGCTGCTATCATGCCAAGCACTGCCAGGAGAACAAGTGCCCTGTGCCCTTCTGCCTCAATATCAAGCACAAACTGCGTCAGCAGCAGCTGCAACACAGGGTGCAGCAGGCGCAGATGATGCGGAGACGCATGGCCACTATGCAGGGCCGAGCCGTGCCTCAGAGCCTGCCGTCACCACCTGCGTCAACAGCCCCCAGCACACCCACCTCGCATCAGCAACCCAACACCCCTCAAACACCGCAACCGCTGTCCAACCAGCCAGCTACACCCAATGCAGGCGTCATGTCTCCTGCCTATCCCAATGCACCCCGAAATGGACATCCCCCTCCTCAGGCTTCACAAGGCAAGCCACAGGCCTCCCCGCTACACCAGCAGCCGTCTCCGCTCCCGCAGCCTCCCCAACAGCAGCCGGCGCCCCAACAGCCTCCTCAGCAGCAGCCTCCGCCTATGGCGGTCAAAATGGCACGGCACATAGAGATGGTCGCACAGGCTCAACACAACCAGAACTATCGCATGACCATGAATGGCCTTCCCATGAACCACCAGCAGCCGCGCATGCCAGGCCTGATGCAGCAGCCCATGCAGCTGGTCGGACCACGCGGACAGCAGGTGATGCAGCCCATGTCGCAAGGACAGTGGACTGGAGGCCCTCAAGCAGGCATGCAAGCGGCTCAGCAGCAGGTTGCTCCGCAACAGACTGCACAGGGCCCTCAGCAGACCATGTCAATGCAGAGACCCACAATGCCCCAGCAAACGCAACAGCCACGCATGATGGTGCCCACACAGGGTCCGCGACTGCAAGCCCCACAGAGACCCGGAGCCATCGCCTCCAATGCCTTGCAGGAGCTGCTAGCAACCCTGAAGTCACCCAGCTCTCCCCAACAACAGCAGCAGGTGTTGAACATCCTCAAATCGAACCCCCAACTCATGGCCGCCTTCATCAAACAGAGGACTTTGAAGTACCACGCCAACCAGCCGCAGCAGCAGCAGCAACAAACGCCACAGGGCATGCATGCAGCACAGCCAGCGATGCCCAACATGGCTGCCATGCAGGGAGTGCCTCGGCCTGGCATGGCACCTCAGCAGCAGCAGCCCACACCACAAGGCCTGGCAGCTCTTGGACAGCAGAGTCAGCTCATGAACAACAACCCGCAGCTGCAGGAGATGTACCGGCGTCAGCTTTTGCGACAGCAGCAGCAGCAGCAGCAGCAGCAGCAACAACAGCAGCAGCAGCAGCAACAGCAGGGAGTGATGCCGCAGGCACATGGCCAGTTCCCGCAGGCACAGGGGACTGCTACCAACTACACGCAACTCCGAATGCAGCAGCAGCAGCAGTTGGTCATGCAGGGAGCAGGTGGACCTATGGCCCAGATGGGAATGGACGGCACACCTAACCTCCTGCACCAACGCATGCTCCAACAGCAGCAGCTTTCGCAACAGCAGGTCGTCCTCAAGCCTCCAATGGGCTCACCGGCGCACCCAAGTCCCATGAGCCCACAAGCTCACCTGCTTTCCGGTCAGCCGCAAGGTGCGCACCTACCCGGCCAGCCCATGGCTAATGCACTCAGTAACCAGGTGTGCTCACCGGCTCCCGTACAGTCGCCCAGACCTCCGTCGCGGCAACTTCCTCCACATTCCAGTCCTTCCCCACATGTTCAGCCACAGCCGTCACCGCAGCATGTGCCGTCTCACACGGGGTCCCCACACCCTGGTCTGACGACACCCATGTCTGGCTCCATGGAGCAGGTACACCTGGGCGCACCTGAGCAGAGTGCAATGCTCCCGCAGCTTAACACGCCCAACCGCGGAGGGCTGCCCAGTGACTTAGGTATGGTGGGAGACACAACGGGAGACACGCTGGAGAAATTTGTGGAGGGATTGTAGCGTTTAATGGGAGACTTCACCCACCACAGTCTCCCCGTTCCTCTTTTTTTTTTTTGTGGCTCTGTTGGTTTTTCTCTAATATTCTCAAATTTTTGTACTGACATGTAAAAAGTTAGAAGAAATGTAGGAAAAAAAGAAAGAAATTTATGTTGATAAGTAAAGGGAATGTTATTGTTTCCTAAAAACAAGACTGATTTCTTCCTTTCAAGAGGGATTTGAAAATTGTTTAAAAGAAATATAAATCACAAAGAATATATTTTTTGTTCAGTTTAGACCCATGTGTGGTCAACACTTTGTTTGTCCAGATTAATTTTTGTTTTGTTTCGGGGGTGCGTGGGGGGTCTGGTTTCATGCCTTTTCTTATTTTAAGAAAATTACAAAACATTATAATATTCATACCTTTTGTTTTGTACCTTATCTAACTTTACAGCATTTTTTGTGTTGGAAGACTGTAAAATTTGTTTGGGAGTTTAGGTCAGGGTTTCTCTGCTCTGTCTGTCATTCTTCCTGGCGATTGTATTCTAGTGTTGTACCATTTTTTTTCAGACATGCATTCGGAGGCATTTCCTCCTCTCCTCATTGTGAAGTTTGTATGAGGAGAACTAATTTGTTTGTATTGATAGGAACTGTGCATACGCATGTATGCAGACACGCAGAGACACACATATGCATCGCTCAGACAATACAACACAGAATCCACGAGGACATGTACACATTTACAACATCTCACTGGCCTGGATCCAGAGGTTCTGTCTTGCAGATGTAGAAAATTGTTGCTTTTTGTCCTGATTTTGTTATACAGATATATAAATGTAAAGAGAGCTAGAAAGAGAGGGAGAGAGAGGGACCCCTAAGCTGAGCGAGAGGGAATGGGCGATCAAGCGCTTGTCGGAGCAGTTATGGATCATTCCTCTCGCACAAACTTGAACAGGGGTTCTACTCTTTCCCTTAATGTAAATCATGCAAGTTATTAAGCAAAGTACTATAAATATAAGGAAGAAAGAATGGAATCATTGTATAAACTGGTTGAAAAACTTATTTCTTACTTATATACCATATTGTTAAATAAACTGTGTGCAACAGATCAAAACCACGTGTCTTTAATGTTATTTGTATGTATATAACGTTAGATTGTTGTGTCCGTGCCCTTATTTAATCTGTCAGATTTAGAAGTCTATAATACATGAATATTTTCTGTAATATGATAAATTAAATCAGTTATTTGCCATATTTAGTGTGTTTAACCGTCTTTTTAACAGTTTTTGTAAGTAAGTATGGTTATCACATGATTGTTTTGCAATCGACGCAGTCTCTACGTCACCGCGCACTGCACGTCACCGGAAGTAGAATGCGGCGGTTTGCTGGACAGTATTTTGAACAACATAAACCTCTGCAGCACATTTTACAAGAAATTCGTCGTTTGACGACATACAATCATCTGTATTAAAGACATAAAATGAAGTGCTTCTTGTCAACGGTCTGTAAGTTGTTATGATATGAATCGTGGTAAAAGTACGTTCAACGATATGAACTAACGTTAGTGGCAAAGTAAAATGTAAAAAAGGTAAATACGACTTGCACACATCTCTTCCTTGTACTTTTTTAAAAACAAACGGACAATCTTGATGTAGCTTAATGCATTACATCCACAATATATAGATTAAAATGTTTAATATTGCATACTGATGTGACAGATCATGTGTGTGATTGGCTCATCATGGACGACTCGGATCAGGACTTCACCGACCTCTGTTCTCGTCTCCTTAAAAGAGTGAGGAGGAAAGGAGCAGGAGAATCTGGAGATGAGAAAAGATCAGCAGCCAAGGATGAGGAGCCATCTTCCCCCTCTTCTAGAAGAAACCCTCCTAAGAGGAGAAAAAAGACCAAGGATGCTGCTAAGACTGAAATAAAGAGTAACATCAACAAGACTCAACAGGCTGTAGTATCTGCCGATGCTTCCCAGCCTGTCCCTGATGTATCTGGCACAGGGAAGGTCAAAGATGCTGTGATCCGCAGAATGCAACAGTTTAAGCGAGCCAGTCCAGAGAGACTCCTACATGCTGAGGCCAACCAACCAACAGCCACAGAGTCTGAGGGAAACTGTCCCACCACTGCCGGGATCCAGCACACGGGTATGGTGTCGAATCTTTACAGAGTCAGCCTCTCAATTTTCATAAACACATTAACTCATTTTGACACATTATTAATATAATTAAATATGCAAATTCTTAAGAGTCTGTAATTGTATCTGTATTACAGTGTTTATGATGTTTCTAGCATGTTAAATATTTGGCAACAGTTCTAACCCTAACTGATGGAGTGTGTAGCTTTTCATTTCTTAAACGGCCATGTATGGCCATTTTCCAGGAGGACAGTGTCAAGATTCATCAGGTTCAAATTATGAAAGAGGCGAGCACGTCTGAGTCCAGACCTTAAATTATTTTAAAGTCTTTAGGATGTGCTGGAGGAGACTTTACAGAGTGATGGACTCTTTTATTGGTAATACAAGATCTTGACCCCCTTAGTGCCAATTGGGCATCGTTTTAATGCCACGGCCTACCTGAGCATTGTTTCTGACTATGTCCATCCCTTTATGGCCAACATGTACCCATCCTCTGATGGCTACTTCCAGCAGGATAATGCACCATGTCACAAAGCTCGAACCATTTCAAATTGGTTTCTTGAACATGTCAATGAGTTCACTGAACTAAAATGGCCCCACAGTCACCAGATCTCAATCTAATAGAGAATATCCTACCAATATGGACCAACATTTCTAAAGATTGCTTTCAGCACCTTGTTGAATCAATGAATACCACATAGGGCAGTTCTGAAGGTGAAAGGGGGTCAAAAACAGTATTAGTTTGGTGTTCCCAATAATCCTTTAGGTAAGTATATAACATGCCAGAAACATCATAATCACTGCAATAATGATCCAGTCATAGACTCATAACATTTTACAATGAAATCATCCACAACATCTAGAAATTCATACTTCTACTGTAAACATTGTGGCATATGGTGCAAAACATGACTAATCGCTTTATGATTTTATACCAAAATTGACATAATTCTGAAAAAAAAAATTAAATTGTAAAACAGAACAATTTTAATGGCTTGACATTTTTTTTAACATGATCAATGAAAGTAATTTTTGCTAAAAGTGTATGTGCATGGTTTCCCACAGAAGATGTGAGCGGAGATGAAGCCCTGGCACTTCAGCTTCAGCTGGAGATGGATCGCGAGGCTCGGGCTGCTGGGAATGTGGAAGAGGCAGGATTGTTCTTCTGCCAGCTCTGTCAGAAAGATCTGTCGAGCATGAGTCCCCCGCTACGCACTCAGCACATCAACAGGTGCATTATAACCTCAACGCACACTATTATGTGGCATCATTCTTATCTGTTTCACAAACAAAGGCATGTGAGTTTAACCTTTGTCTTCTGCCTCTATCTCCTGCTCTGCAGATGTCTGGATGCCAGTGAAAGCAGCACTTCCTCTGCATCCCATCACTCACACCCTAGACCGCGGGTCCCCGAATGTCCCATTTGCGGAAAGAGTTTTAAATCAGAAAAAAGCCGGTCTGTTCACCTAAAGCGTTGCTCGACTGATATGGGTGTGAAGCCCAATGATCTTCTCCAGGCTCTGAGGAGACAAGCTGCTGAGACAGTGAGCCACAACTCCTCCGACCAATCGTAAGTCAGCTTTTTTACTTAATAACCTTACTTAATAATCACCTTTACATTACCTTTACACATCTTTATGTGGGATTTTATTTAAAAATTATGTTCTTATGTGTGTGTGTGTATGTGTGTAAATATATATGTAATATTTATGTACGTGTTTATATATATGTATATATATGTATGTATGTGTGTATATATGTATATATATATATATAATTTTTCTTTTTTTTCATGACATTGTGCACAATATGTCACAGTACATCGCAGTAATTTGACAAAATAATGGTATATTTTAAAATCGCATTAGATTTAAAAATAAAACTTATGACCAAAACAGTAAATTCAATTAATAAACTAAATTATCTTTTTCAATAATACAAAAAACAAAAAAAAAACAAAATTTTTTTTTTTTACAATAAATAATACAATAAGGTCTCATTAGTTAATGCATTATCTAAAAATAAGCAAAAGCTACATTTGTTATAGTGTTTATTAATGTTTGTTAATGTTAGTTAATAAAAAACAACTGTTCATTATTAATTTTACTTTATAACTAAGTTTAGATTAATAAAAGCTTTAATTAAATTAATTAATGTTAACAAATATTCCATCCTTCAAAAAGGGTTACCATTTTTCAAAATAAATATAATTGTAGTAAAGTTCAAGTCCCCGTGAACCGGAAGTTGCAAACGATTTTTCTCCAGTGCTGTGACGTATTTCCAAGTGAAACGGAATATTGAACAGAGGGCAGGGTTTTACTCTAGCGCTCCTCCTCTCCATCTCTCGCTCATAGTAAACTAACGGTTTGAGGGGAGTGGTTAAGCGTTTCCACACCCAAACTGTGAAACCTACGTCATCAGAAAAAGAAAACGTTCCAGACCGAAAGTAACTTTTCAGATTTTGATTAAAGATTACTAAGGTAAAACATTTTTTTAATATATATTCACTTGCACGGATTAATTGTTCACCACAAGACTAGTAATATGCGCTAACAAAGTAAATAGGTTCAATTTTGATTTCACGGGGACTTTCAGGCTCAGGGAGGAAGGAAGTGGGAACTGGCAAACAGTCAACATAAAGTTTAAGGACAAAATATAAACCAAACAAAAGAACGGCAGTGAGCTTTCTGCCGACTGCTGCCTATAACATAATAAAACTAGTCCCAGGCCTGGTCCTCTCTCGTCCTCCGTTGTTGTCGCTCCTCCTTTTATCTATCCAGAGCTCCTCCATGGGACCTGAGAGCGATGTGTTGCGCTGGTGTCTCTCATCAGCCTTCACTCCACTGGCCTCGCTCCGCTCCCACAGCTATTGGCCCCACCCTGTTTCACACCACACTAATAAAAATTGTCCCCGGGAGATCTTGTAAAAATACATATTGAATTACATGTTCTATGTTCTCCAGACAACAAGTAGGTAGCACAACAAGGAGGGACGGTGTGCCTGTGAAAAAGAGAACCAGGAAGAAAGCCCAGAAGTTGGACGAGGACACCATCATGGCGCTGGCTCTGTCCCGCTCTCTACTTGAGCAGGAAATGGAAAAGGAGCAAGAGATGTTGAAGGAAAGAGAGATACTGGCTCAGCTCTCCAACCCTCCTGCAACGGCGGCTCCTGTCTTACAGTGGAGACCTGGTGCAGGTAAACTCACATTTTTCAGTTAAAGCAGTAAAATTGTAGATTATTAAACATAGCATATCATTCACTCTTTCAGGTAAGGGCCGTGGAAAGAGAAGGAAGGGAGCATCTCCTGTCCACCCACCACTACTCCTCATCCAGGACCCTCAGACAGCACTGAATCGTCGACAAGAGCGGGTTTCATCTCTCCTGCTCCGTCCCAGACCTCCCTCTCCGCCAACACCCACCCTATCCCCCTCCACACTCCCTCTCCATCCTCACGCGCCCCTCTGGGACAAAAGCGCACTTCACGGAGGAGGACCAGAATCGGTTTCAGAGTTTTACACATCTGAACTAAGCAACTTCATACAGCCATGGGTTGCACCAGAGGTGAGACGAGATTCCCCTTTTATTGTGCTCGATTATTTTTTTAAATGTTTGTTAATTAAAAAAACAATTTTTAGCAAAATGATGTTTTGAAACATGCATATTTTTAGAAACGTGAATATATAAACTATTTAAATGTTCGAATTTGTTTTAGTACAACACATATATATAATTATAATTTACAATAATAGTAAAAGTTTAAAACTTTAAAAGTATAACTCGGTGAGAGCTAGAGTATTAATTAACATTTTTACTAGAAAATTTACTTTAAATTCCCTTTGCAGTGTCAACGAAAAAAAAGTTTCATGAAAAAGTATATAAATGCATTTCTTAAACATGTTAACTGTACAAATTATTTATTTAAATAATGTATTAAAAACATGAACCAACATTACTACATTATAAAATGTAGTACATATCATTTGTTAGGAATTTAAAATGGGGACAGTCGTGATTGTTAAATTCCTTGCCATCATTATCATTTTACATTCAAACCCCAATAGATAAAAAATCATGTTCTACATTATTTCTTACTGAATATTTTGTGTGTCAAAGAATTTGTGGATACTGTTTCTTAAAGTTTCTTTATATTACTACTTCAGAGGGAAAAAGTCAAGTCTCTTGAAGTAACTCCAGTCAAGAAACCTCCAGCTGTGACCACAGAGGCCGATTTGTTCCAGGAAAAGTCTTCGGATCAAAGCCCGGCACAGCACAGGACTACCTGTCCTCTCACTGCCTGTTTGGGTACACCAGACACCCAGGCTTTGCAGGACCTGATGGAGCTTGCAGAGGAAGGCATGACCCTCACCCAGTACACAGCCACAGGGGATAAGCCAGGTAATACTGGTATTTGTGAAACAAAAATAATCATTTTTTTATTACACTCGGCTCAGACTGTCCCGTTCTTTATAGATAAAGACGACGCCACGAATGAACTTACCTCAAGTGGATTTGTTCAAGAGACAAATGACAATAAGACACCCAAAACAGCCTCAGTAAGAACTTCCTTCAATTTTATCTTCCTTTTACTGTGCTCTATCATGATTGGCACGATATTAAATGTTTTGTGCCCGTTGTGTTTTTCAGATGTATGTTTCAAAGCTATCATCAGATCTGAGCAGTATGGTCAACAACCCTCAACTCAGTGATGTGCAGTTACAGGTGGACAGTGGGGACGTCTTCTTCACGCACTCGTTTATGCTGTACACGCGATGCCCCCTGCTGGCCAACATGGTTAGTGCATCTCTACACTGACGCCACAAACGTTAACATTAAGAAGTGCAGATGAATAACCGAGCTGTTACCATGTGTTTGTAGGTACATGACTCAGGGTTTGGTGTTCAGGAGGAGGGTATGCCTGTTGCTCAGAGGGTGTTGTTGGGCGATGTGTTTGGGGAGGCAGTACTGGCCCTCTTGCAGTATCTTTACACAGCCCACTGTCCTCTGACACATACACTGCTACCACACGTACAGGAACTTGCTGTTAGGTCAGTATTACAATCTGTATGGTGTGGTTCAATTACAATTATTTCTGTATATAAATAGATTATAGATGACGTATATATTGTGGATAACAAATCTGTGTTGTGTTTTAGGTTTGGTTTGGTTGAACTGCAACAACAGTGTGAGGAATATTCCGGAAGCGTTGAGACAAACCCAAGAGGAGAATCCAAAATGTTTCCAGCGCATGAGCCTGAGTCTCATCGCAGGGACCAAGAAGACCAGAACTTGGCAGAAAGCAACTTCTTGGAGCTCCTCCAATCAATGTGGCAACATGAGGACAGCGAAGAAGAGGATGATTTTAAAGAGACTGGAGGAGAGGAAGGAGACACGGGAGAGGAAAGAGAGAGAGGAGATGGAGAGAAAGAGGACCAGGTGGACGAGGAAGAGCTTGACGAGATCTATGAGTTTGCAGCGACGCAAAGGAAGATGGAAACTGCGACAGACACAGAGGAAGAGGAGGTGCATGCAAATGCATCCCTCGAAAATGAAAAGAAAGACGAAGGGATTGATAAAAATGAGACAGAATCCCTCTTAGAGAAGTCTGCTGGCAGTTGCCATAGTGACAAACAAGGCGTGGATGGGACAGAGGCTGCCATGGTAACAAGTCCAACAGAAACCCTTAAAAAGCCCAGCCCAGAGACTGAGAGAGTTGGTTTGATTCCAGAATTTGATAACGGCACAAATGAAAACGGAGACCCAGACGCCAGTCTAGACAAGAGTTACGACCGTTTATTCTCCCAGTCTATAGGCGAATACATGGAACCGTCTTTGACGCCAGCCGCATGCTCTCAGCAAAAACATTATAAGTCATCAAGCATACTACAGAAAAACACACCTGCCCCATTTCGCCCTTCGAGTGTCCGTGAGGTGATTGACCTGTCCATAAGCCCTCCACTAAGCTCAGGTGTGTCAGGTGAAACTTCCTTTCCAATGCCTGGAGTTTCTCCTGATCCACATAAGGGTGAAGATAAAGTAGATAAAGGCAAGTCTCCTTTAAGTAAAGACAACTCAAGCTGCCAGAGAAAAGAACACCCACCTTCCCCTCCAAAGTCACACAGCAAAGAGGTTGAGCTCATTGTACTCTCAGATGATTCCAGTGAGGATGTGGATGGTGACAATGCAGCTTCTAATAAATGTGGTTTGTCCCCTCTGTCTCCGTTCAAATCTCCCTCAGAACCGTCCACAAGCTATGCTTGCAAAGTTAAACTCACAGAAAATAGTTTCAAAGAATCTGGATCCCAAGGCCATGCCGGAAAACCAGTAAATGCTTCCAAGCAGGTGACGACTGATGCAGAAGCCAAGTCAGACCGACCTGAGGACTGTAGTCCTGGGGATGCAAATGAAAGTGTGTTTGATGGCTCTGCTGAGGTTTCCTGGCTGATTCCAGCCACTCCGGTAGCATCCACACGTTGTAGCTCTACCCAGACCTGCGTTAGCATGCGCCGAACCCAACTCTTCCCCAAATCTTGCTCTGCATCGTCCTCTTCTTCCTCTTCCTCTGTCTTGGACAGTTTGAAACCTACTGGCTTTGTTTCTTTAAGCAGCAACTGCGTTAAAGAGGTGCCGGTTCCCTTGTCCAAACTGTTCAAATCAGATCAGACTCGCTCTAAAGAAAGTCTTAGCACTGATACGGATCGCTCACCAGGTTACCAGAGACCACTTCGACTTCTTGGACTGTCTCAGATCCCTTCTACAAGGGCTTCTGATGACTCCCACACTGGCACCATCATGGGACGACAAACCGAGGGTGTCCCGCAGCCCTCAAGTAGCACTCCTCTCCATTCAGACTCGATACGACGTCAGATCCCGTTCGGCTCCCCTATGGTTGGTGACTGTGAGGGGAAAGTTGGCCTAGTGTCTCTACAACTGAGTTCTCCTTCCCCTAGTAAAACACCTGAGAAGAAGCTGAGTAGCTCTCTTCGGCATGGATGCTCCAGTCCATCCCCAAACTCTCTGAGTGACAATCATCCTGAAGGATTGAGAGAGGATGAAGGGATTGAGCAAATGGAAGTGGGTGAAGAGCATCCCAATCAAAGTGTTGAAGAAGTGGTGGACATTGCTGGAAAATCATTCTGTGACAAGGATGAGTTTGGAAAAAGAGTAGGAGAAGAGCATCCCAATCAAAGTGTTGAAGTGGTGGAGATAGCAGGAAACTCATTCTGTGACATGGGTGAGCCTCCTATAGCGTTTGATGACTCATGGGGCTTGGATGGAGGGGTTGCAAGCCAGAAGCCCCACTTTAGTCTAAGACTTGATAGCAGTGAAGGTACAGTTAGTCCACCAAGTCTCGAGGGTAAGGGACAGAAGACAGGTCTACACGCCACTTCTCCTCTTGCATCTGGAGCTTATAACAAAACTCCTGATCCAAGTCCAGGTCCGTTCAATCACAGCCTACCTGACCCTGACATGTGGGATGATTGGGAAGAGAATGCTCCCCTTCCTCTTTCTCAGAGACTGGCAGCTCCCTCTGCCAAGAGAGTTGCTGAACTTAAGACTCCAGGTAAAACCCTTTTCTTTTTTTACCGGGGCTCTTATGTTTTCTGACATGGCTGTACAGATCTGTTAATTCTGCATTCAGAAAGCCCTGTAAGATTTTTTTCTTGTAAGTAATTCATCTTTTTAAAATAAAATTTAACTTTCTGCACAGTTGCTTGCAGAGAGAGGAATAAAGGACCGCTGGTACCCATTACTCCCATGCCGGGCTACTCCGATATGGACACACCTGAGCTCAAAAACAAACTCAATAGGTGAGCATAAAAAGAATATTTAGACACGGTCACACTTAAAAAATGTATTCATGTCATTCCAATAGTTGGCAAAATATCAAACCAAGTAGAATACATTATAATGCAACTTTTTTATTTTTAGAACTAACATTATCAACTTTTAGGATTTACTTTTCAACTAGCTGGTCCCAGGATCGTTTTTAGTCAGTTCCCCTCAGGGTGTTTTAATTCATCAGAGTTCATCACAGAAGCTATGGACATTATTTTTTTATTCACATACTTGGTCTTATTTAGGGTGATTATTGTTTTGTAATGTATAAACAAACACCCTTTCTTACGTGCCATTTCTTGATTGACTGTGCTAGCCACGTTATGAAAACAAATCAACGTTAGGTTTTCAACTTTCAAATGAGAATCAAATGCAGATGTTGTGCAACTTTGCCCTCACACAGCCAAAGCAAAATGCTCAAAAACACAGATGCATAATGTTTTTTGGTTAGATTTGGTGTGCGTCCGCTGCCCAAGAAACAGATGGTTCTGAAGCTGAAAGAGATCCATCAGTACACCCACCAGCTGCTGAGCTCCGACTCTGAGGAGGAGACCTCTGGACCCCAACGTCCTCCGAAGGCCTGCAACGCCCAGTCTGTGCCGCTCTCCTTTAAGCAACCTACAGCGCCCCCTGCTGTCTCCCCTATGAAACTACGGCCAAGTGAAGATGATGAGCTTTTATCAGCCTCTCAAAACTCTAACACGTCCTCCACTGCGGAGTCCGAGAGGTACAGCTGCTATACCTATACGGCTATATACCAGGGACGGATTATGACGCGGTTGTGTCCTGGGCACAGGCCTGTCTAAAGGTGGGGAGGGTGGACAAAGCCCTCCGCAGCTTGAATTTGGCACCCCTCTGGTCTAGTGCCCTGGGCACATGCTCGGTATCTTGTGTGATAATCCGTCCCTGCTATAAACAACAATTAATATTAATACAAATGGCGATTTTCCTCTGCATGGTACGTCTCACTTAAAGCTACACTGTGTGATTTTTACCCCCATCTAGTGGTGAAAAGGTATATGACCATCCAGTGAATATTAGTTTCTGTTCCTCTCAATTCCGATTTCGTTTCAACTCCTACGGTGGCCATTGTAGTCCAAGATTAACATGGCTTCCAGTTCGACCTCGTCCATGAGTGTCAACTCAAACGTAAACGCGAAAGGCGAAGCTTTAATTAACGGGTATGTCCCTCTTTGGCTAATGTACTTTCAAGATGGAGGGGCAACACGGCGACCAACATTAGAACCCCTTACCCGTATGTATTTTCAATGGCATATTATACACTCACGAGAATACTTTATTACTTGAACGAAGTAAATATACATTAATGAGCACACATATTTATGAAAGAACTAAGTGTTTTTAGCTAAGAATAAACTAAAAGAGGTAAACAGTGTAGCTTTAAATAGTACCACCTCACATGTGACGTATAAACACTGCAGATCACTGATTGGTCAGAGCGAATCGTCACTGGATTTGCGACACGGGACACCAAACTTCTTCGTCTTACTGTAAAAAAAATCCACATGCCAAGAATCAAGAACACCATTCCGTCGATATGCTCCTATGTTCCTGTGTTGTGCGTTTGGTTGTCACATTTACGATGATGTCACGGTTGTAGAGGCGGAACAACTATAATGATCAGTCTATAATTCCACCCACCTACTAAACTTTAGTGGAAAAGCAAACCGATCTGAGCCGTACCATGCATTGGAAAAGTGCCTAAAGAAATATTGTTCTTTTCTTCCATCCAGGTCGAACCCAGAGCTGTGTGTGTCCGGAGACGATGACTCGGACAGCGAGGGCATCACAGCGTCTCAGGCTGTTGTGCGCGAGAAGGATAAACTCCTCGCAGTTCGTCAGTTCATCTTGTCTGACCCAAAACTGTACGGGCGAGTGCTGCAGTACCAGCCTCTCTCCCTGGCGGAGCTGCGGTCCAGCTTGAAAGCAGCAGGAATCAGGTTAGGTGCTGCTAAGCTACTAGACTTCCTGGACTCCCAGTGCATCACTTTCAGTACGGCCAAACAAGGCCAGAATGCTTCTTCCCGCAGGAAGCGAGGTGGGAAAATAAAACCTAATGGCTGTGCAGCTGGAAGAGGGAGGAAAAAAACAGCTAAGCCCAATGGAGAAGTTGCATGAGGGCTGAATTAAAATTATGTGGTAAAACTACATCATTTTCAGAGGAAACTGTTAAAGTAAAATGTTCTTTTCCAAAAAAAAAAAAAGAAGAAAAAAGTAGCTGATAAACACATCTAACACACACTCATGGTCTTAAGCCTTCCAGTGAAAGGATTTAAATAATGCCTTTTTTATCAGCTTCATATTGATGTTTTTGTTTTTTACAGTGTTTGAATTGAATATATTATTTTTAAATGAATTTAATTTAATGTCTGGATAATGTAATTAAAATACATTTCTTAATGTCTCTCATGTTTTAATACAATAATTGCTTATTTTCATTTATTTCAACTGTTATAATTAATTTTCACTCAGCAGTTTTACAGATTCCTTTAACCAAAATGTGCTTCAAACAAACGGGTCAAGATTGCATATGTGAGTCATAATTTAACTAATTTTCATGACACACAAGAACATTTAATTGCACTCACTCAATTCGCAGTATGTAAATATTTTTAAACTACATATGTAATTTGTGCAAAAATTATCATTTTCATTATTGTTAAAATAAATAATTCCCACATGTACTAAATCATAAAAACCGCAAACAATACAAATTAGAAAAAAAAATTATATTTAAAATTGGACCATAAATATCTTTGGAAAATTCACCCCATGATTTCAGATTGTAACCAACAGTGAGAAAAAAAAAAACACAGAACCAAACCATCTTGAAAAAAAATGTTACTTTACTTTTTTTTTTTTTTTGTTTAGTTTTATAACATCACTTTTTTGCAAAGATCTGCGGAGAAAAACAGACATCTCACATTCTAACAAAGAAAGACAAGCAGAAGAAAAGTGTCTGATCATCTTCCGTGTGCACGAGAGAGAATCTGGGTCCGGCTGGGCAAACAGTTCCACAGGAAGGGCTGAAATCATACAGCGTATGAATTTCTCACATTATCACATGAGCTCCTCAGGAGGCAGGCTCCGCCTCAGGACCATCTCCTAATGCCCCATCATGCACCTGTCATGACAGGTTGACAATGTTGGCCAGGAAGCGCTGGGCCCACCACTCCTCAAGATCAATAGGCACAAAATCTGTCAAAAAAAAAAAAAGAGTAAGTTCTTTGAGATTTCACCATATATGAATAAAACACCACACAAAATATTCACTTTTTACACTTTTTTCTTTTCATAGTGTGGAAGCAACATGAACATTCTTCAAAATATATCCTTTTGAGTGCCTGACAGGAAGTCATGCAAGTTTGGAATGACATGAAGGTGAGTAAATGGCAGATTTTTGTATTTTTACTTGAATAATGTGAATGTATATATCCTAATGATGGTGAAGGCCTCTACAAGGGGCTGAGAACAAGTCAGCAAATAAGAGACTATTTAAAGAAAGTAAGTAGGACAGAAGTCATTGACTGACTCTTCATGCCGGGATTGGGGCTTCTCTCCGCGTACTGTACTGGCCCTTTCCCATCCTCCGGCAGCCCGTTCCCGTTCTCCGGCTGGGATCCCTCTCCAAGCTTCTGCTCCACCTCCTGCCAAGCTGCAATCAAACAAATATTGGAAGTTATATACAGGTATAATGTACATTATATCATGAATATGAGGGAGAGGGAGAGTTATAAATATATACACAAATACTAGGGCTGTCAAACGATTAATTGCATCCAAAATAAAAGTTTGTGTTTACATAATATATGTAGGTGCACTGTGTAATTTTATATATATGTATATATTTAAGAAATATTTTCATGTGTATACTGTATATAGGTTTATAATATATAAAAATAGAAATATTTTATATACAAGTAATATTGTTTTCTTAAATATACATGCATGTGTGTGCATTTATATTTATATATATATATATATATATATATATATACAAAATAATTCTAAACAGTGCACCCACCTATATTATGTAAACACAAACTTTTATTTTGGATGCAATTAATCGCGATTAATCGTTTGACAGCCCTAACAAATACTATTTGTTTCTGTTTGCTAAAAGGATTTTAAAATCCAATTTGAATTTGATTTAAATAATTCTTTTGAAAATAATTTACATGGTTTGCCAGCAAGTTATTTGTATATTATCACATATCAATATATATAGCACACATTTTTCCAGTCATAGAATGCTAAAATATTTAAACTCATCTTTAATCATCTTCATATTGGTCTTTTGTAGTTTAAAACTTGCCAGCAGGCCATAGTGATGTCTAATTTAGAAGTCACAAAAATAAAGATTAACAAAATAAACTAAATGATTTATTAATCGCTCAGTCTGAATGGCTTTTGAAATCCTTTTCACTACAGGGCATAGTATTTAGGAATACATGTTTCACGGTAGTTCTGAAAACAGTGCCCTGAATTCCACCAAAAGAACAACAGCTAGAAAAACGTGCTTTTCTCGTTGGGCTCTTGGTAGAAAAATAGGTGGTTGGTTTGACTAATTCATTCTAAACACTTCCTTCACACTCCCCAAAACAGATTGTCTTTTCTATTGACTGTAAAGCAGTTTTAGAAAGTATAAAGTGTCAGCTGACTAGCCTGTCACAGCACAAAAGAGCATAAACCTGCCCATGAGGGTCCGTTGCATCAGCCTGTGGAGGTGGAGTCTGGCCTACAGACAAAAAACCTCCTCCTGAAGATAACAACTCTCTTTCTTCACACAAACTCTGCTGAACTTACCTCGCAAAGAACAATTATAGTGATTCACAATTGTTTTTAAGGCTCGATGCCATTTGCAGCCACAAATTTGCAAAAAAAAAAAAAAAATGCAGCTTATTGTAGAGCTTTGAATCCAGTTGGTCAGTGTATTAAGGTCTTGGCAAATACTACCCAACCTTGGCCCTCCTCAAGGTCTTAAACATCAAGGTAACCAAAATACTGGTGTTCTGGAAAATTAACTCACCCTCATAAACGAATCGAACATTGTCCTCGTGTGCTGGGGTGAATCCTTCAGTAGTGTTGGCAGCTTTTGGAGAGGTGGATCTGTGGTACCGCTTTCCGTTCAGCCGGTGAAATACAATTTTCGGTGCTGGTGAACTACACAAACAAAGGGAAATTACATTGATTAATATGGGTCTTTGATAACCTTGAATATTTACACTTGGACCCCATTTATCATACATAATATTTAATTGATCTGTCGATTCATTTCTCATGCTTTACATTTAAATAAAAGAACAGGTTATTAATTTAGAAAGCCAACCCAATGTTTTCCATTATGTGGAAAAGAGCGTGTACATTCTTCAACAATGGTGAGAAAACAAAGAATTATTTTGGGGTGAACTGTTCCTTTAAGGCCAAATACTTCCTTCCTTACACAAAGTCGTTTCTATAGTGACAGCTAGCTACACGTTATGAAACCCAGTTGCTGGTTATATCAGCATAACCCCAGACATAAATTGATCGTTTATATTGAAATATCAAACGCACAAATGACAGACAAACGCGAATGTGTGTCGTAAAACACGCCGTGACTCTCTTTAGCCTCAAAAGGCAGCACAACGTCCTTGTGGGAATATAAGGGGGTGTGTGTGGCAAGCATGTGTTCGCACAAAAGGTTAGTTATTAAACAATCAACAGAAATGATGACGAATAGAATCGCGACACAATCTTCGAACACGCCGTCATTCCACGCGCGCACGCGCTACACTTGCAAGGTCACACGGCGCAAGAAAAAAAGGGACTTTGGCAGAGGCGTAAAAAGGACGTCCTCAACTATAATTGAGGCCAGCTTGTTGTTCGTACGGATGAGTTTAAGTGTGTTAACCTTATAAACGAGACTGGGACGCTGAGGCCATTTTTAAAGGTGCAGTTAAATCATTTTTAAGTTTCCCCTCAGCGACTTAACTCACGTGAAGAGCATCGCGAGCTCAGGTGACGTTAATGTATATAACGTTTAATGTAAGTTAATTACTCACTCCGATGCAAGCCAGGGGCTTTGCTTCTGTTTCAGGTCGTTCGCTTTGCTCTCAATCTGTTGCGTAGGGCCTGCAAGGAATAATATATGTTAATACGTCTCTAAAGTAATGTCAAAGATTAATTCTTACTATATTAGCGTTAAATTGACGGCGATTTCGCTTATATAATAGACTGTGCATGCCGCTCGGTACCTGTTCTCCGTTGTGTAACAAGTTTGCTGGGACCTCTGGTTATTGTGTACATCATGTGAGAGACGGTTTCTGAAGGACCCCTGCAGCACGATAGATCCACGCGAGGTCTACGGATCGGTCAGCGCGAATGTCACGATTATATGCACGCCAGGAAACGTCACGCGATCCCCCTTCAGGACGGAGCTCTCTTGACGCAGCCACCTTGGAAATAAGCAGCGTCGATCCGGTTCGCAAATCTGTCGTTCAGTCGCTTGCAGGCACCGGGACTTAAGCGCCGTGTATTTACTCACACACTCACAGCAGCAGGCGTAAGGTCAATGAAGGTTAAGCGCGTTTATCAGCCTAATTACGCGTCTGGTTAATTCGCGGAGTGTCCTGCGTGTGATGTGTCGCTGCGGAGAAACTTTCTGAGTTCTGGTTCTGTCTGGACTCGGCTGTAAAATTCAGACGCAACCTTCCCCCGTGACGTCATGGCACGCCCCCCGCGACGAACAGGGGTCACCTTTCACCTACTCACCTTGTGGACATCAAACCACTCTGTGTACGGTCTAAACACGGGTTTCATCATGCCGACAAACGTTTAACTGATAAAAGACTGCTTGATAATGATGACTTAAGGCTGCGTACATGCGCGCCGCTACGAGGGGCTTCACACACCACGTGGGAAACATGCAAGCTACTGACTCTTCTTGTGCAAAATCTAAACATTAGTTTCTTCATGCTTTCAAACATTGAATAATGTGCAATATTACAAGCGCGTAATTGTAAAGAGAGCGGTTTGCGCAAATATGCGCAGCTTTGAGGCGCTTAACGCACCATGTGGGAGCCGGACGGGCTTTACTTGACACACATTAACAGTCCTGAACCAAAACCATAACGTTAATCTCAATGCAGTTACTCCGTTCACTTATTAACCTGATTGAATAAAATAGAGGATGCAACTGTTACACAACAGTCCTTGAAAAGCAACGTCTGTGACAAAATGACTCTTAATTAAGAATGTATTCATTTTATTTGTATTATAATCACCAGAGAAAACAGAGAAACGTGCCACTTTCAAGTTATCCTGAATTAGCAACATTAGATTGACATTTGGTAGCTGCCAGAGAACTGACCTCAGATTTAAGACCATTGTTATTGCTTATAATAAATTTATTGACCCCAATATGGAAGAATGTTGTTTTAAATGTAACCTGTCCCTTAGCTATTAATACCAAACAATGAACAAACCTAAATAGCAAGGCATACACAACTAATGTCATGACTAAGAGCGAAGCCATACATTAAACTCAGCTATTTTTTTACAATGCTGTTTCCACACAAATAAAAGCCTTCTTCGATAAATAATGGCATTAAAAAGGGAACTGTAGCAAATTAATGATGTATTAATATCTATATAGTCATAACTTGGCTCACCTGAGTGGTGTGTACAGTACAATCGAGCACTAATACTTACATCTCCCATATTAAAAATTTCACTCAATGAAACTTTGTTACCCTGTAAATGTAAGTCTCTATAGCATGCTGCCCAAATCAACGCAATTCAATACAGACACATATCGTAGTATTTTGAGGAAAGAACCACAGAGGTTAGTTAATTATAAAAGGCCTGATGATTACAAGTGGCGTTTCAGTAGTGCGGATCACAGTCTTCTACGAGACTGTCGGTGATGTAGTTGATCTTCAGTAGTTGCTGGTGGTACTGCTGCTCCACGGCCGTGTTCACCGTCCAGCTCACCACCTCCACACCTCGGGCCGCCCAGTATTGCACATAGTCCCTGATGAAACAACACAGTGACCGTCTCGAAGCGCAACACACACTCCCATGCTGTAGATGGCGCTGCTGTTATAAATACACTTTGAATGTTCCTAAACAGATTTATTTTCAGATTTACTCCATGTCCTTGACTGTTTTGGGGGGTTCGTTTCGCTAGATAAGACCCTTATTCATCGTCTGGAATCGTTTAAAGCCCTTTGATCAGTTTGCACTGAAACTGTCTTTTGGACCTTGAATCGTAAAGTGCATTAAATGGAGAAAAATCCTGGAATGTTTTTATCAAAAACATTAATTTCTTTTCGACTGAAGAAAGAAAGACATGGACATCTTGGATGACATGGGGGTGAGTAAATTATCAGCTAAAGTTTTTTTTTTAAAGTGAACTACTCCTTTAAGACCCCTTCACACCAAGAACGATAGCTAAAGAGAAACATATTAGCATCCGCACCAGCGTTCTGTTTAATCTAAGTGTGTGCTTGTCCGTCTCATTAAATGCTCAAGCTCGTTACAGCAGGACGCGTTCTGATTGGCTGTCAATGTTTTTATTGTTCATCATCAGCTTGATGAAATCATTCTGAATGTGATTCCAACGATATTGTTTCTCTGCTCCGTTAACCTTAGCTGTGGTGTGATCTCTGCTATTCTTTAATATTGAGAATGATTTTTAGAACTATATCTTTATCTTTATAGTTATCATCCTTGGTGTGAACGGGCATTTAGTGTGTTTATGTCACATGTCTCTTTGATATTTCAATGACTATATATGGCTTAGGCCCCTCCCTCAGCAAAGTATGGAATTTTTATTTTATTTTTTAATAACCAAGCAGTCCATCTGTCTCCCTAACC